ATTTTTATCAGTCATTTAATATTCGAACAAAGTCTTCATTCAAGCGGCCTGTTTATTCTAATCACAATTTTCCTTTACCATTTGCCGTGTGAATTGTTTGATCATAATGGAATTTTGAATCTACTAGTCAGAATAGCTCGTTGGTGGCCGTCTAACCTGCAAACGGGCAGTTTCGCTAGACTGCGACATAACCGTCGATATCATATAACTGCAGAAGCCTATATGTAAATTCCCATGCCCATAATACGAAAAGGAACCACAGTTACGTTGGCTTCATTGGTGACATGGCGGCTTATGTTTGCCAACAAGTTTGCTTTGAAATCGAGCAAGGGAGACTTTTCTAATTTCTGGTTATCTCTTTGCGATTCTTACCTACTACTTAGTAAGAAAGCTTCTTCATTGCTAGTTAAATTTGCCACAACCTATCTGTGCCAATCTATTTTTTTTTTTCTGATCTTTTTACCAACAGAGCAAAATCTAGTAACCGTGCAAAAAGCCTCCGGAAGGGGGCCACGAGCCATAAAAGGTTGAGAACCACTGGTTTAGAGCATATACAACAGTAAATCAAATACAAACTTTAAACAAACCAAGAGAAAAACCCCCTTTAATATAAGCATATATATATATATACCTGAAACGAAAGTAAAGAATATGCAAACGACTACCGGGCTATCAAACACTCAAATGTGGATGTTAAATATTAAGTGACACCCTCTATACTTGAATTCACTATTTAACATCGGTATGGATCAATTAAACAATTTATTTAATTATATGTATAATGTAAAAGGGGAAAGGAGGACTGGTGAAAAGGTATGACGTCCATTTTTGACTATATATGTTGCGGAAATGACGCAAAAAATATGTGTGTACCTTTTAGCTCTGCTACATCAAAGTGTCAATTGAGTACGACGGGAAATAGTGTGAGACTAAGTCAAAAAAGTAAGTCAATGGTATAGGAGTTACATATTTGTTCCGGGAAAGGGGAAATCCCGAGACAGATTAATCAAATGACAAACCACGTCTTCTCGTCCGGTTTCTAGTCAATGTCGGGTATGGGATTAGGTGTGCTAGTTGTTTGTTTTCGGAAGCATGGACTTAATGGCGGAGGAAGTCGAACGTACCAGCGGTTACGTGAACCACCTTACGGTGGCGAGGAGTCCAGCAATCCTCTCGCACGTAACTATCCTCACATGGGATTCGAACCTGCGAACCCACGCAGGGTAATAAGAGGTGCGGTGGCGAGCGTAATCCTAACCTATAGCACGATGAGCTATAACACCGCATAGCACTATACTCTCAGAATATGTCAAAATGCTAATATTCCTGCGGCATAATGTGCACTTGTTGAATGACATTGATGAGACGCTTTCGCATTAAAATTATGTACAATATTTTTATTTGAATTATTTTTTCACTTTTTCTTAGTGCTTACCAATCGAGTTCGTAATATTCTTTCAAATTAAACGCCACGGGAAATAAATTTGTGATGATCTAATCCAGTGGATCTCAAACTTTTCAAGCCGAGCGCCCTTTTTAGAATTTGTCAAGTCTCGCTCCCCACCTCAAAAATGCCAAGCTAACAATACGCTTTAAATAACAGATATAGTGCGAAGGAAAGTATTTTTTATTCAATAATACGTTGAAAATAAGCGTATATAATAAAGAAATGTAAATATCGGAAATACGGCGGGCCAGATCACATCTAACATAATTGTTTTTTTTGTCTAATTAGTTTCTTAAGTTTTAATTTGCTTAAAACCTCGCCCCCTTAAAAAAATTCTACGCTCTTCGTTTGAGATCAATTAATCATCATTGATTTGTCAACACAATATAATGTATTACTAGAGAGTAGAAATATGGCAAAATGTAAAGCAAATTACGAACCACCAAATAGCTCTTACAAACTTTTAAAAAAAAAATTATAAAGAAAAAATATCAAAGTTTAAAGGAAAAAATAAATATATAAAAGTACGATTTTTACATTATTTAATTTCAGACTGTGTACATAAGTTAGTCGTTGATACCAACTAAGCTACAATTTTGAAAAATACAGACTCCGTGTACCTCTGAATCGTTCCAGTCTCTGGATCGCTGTTGTCAAGGATAACAAGCCAAGGTAATGGAATATTTGGTCCGTTATTCGTTTTCGTGAACATGGACTTGATGGTGGAGGAAGCCGTAACCGACCAGTGATTACGTGAATCACCCTAGGCCGCAATCGTTTCGCACTTATTTAACTTATAGCCCCATGGGATTCAAACCCACGCTTAAGAGCGCTTGTGGCGAGTCTATAATCAATTACAGAATTACGGTACCATGCCAACATGCTGCCTTAATTGCCCATTGATTAGCTTCTATGTGCTCAACTATGATGTGGTATTTTGTGCACTAGTTATTATGTATAAATCGGGATATACAAAGTTAATTAATTTTTATTTCAATTTGAATTCTGATTTTTGAATTCTGATGTTGATAACTGTTTCAGTAATTACTTGCTCACTTTCGATGCGCTTGCAAATATTGTTTCTTCTCTTAAATCTGGTTGTTCACCTGGTCCTGATGGGATAACCAAGGAACATTTGGCATATTCTCATCCATGGCGCGGCGGTGTGGCTCAACGGGCTAAGCGTTAGGAATACGCTCGCCACCGCACCTCTAATTACTCTGCGTGGGTTCGCAGGTTCGAATCCCATGCAGGGATGGTTATGTGCGAGAGGATTGCTGGACTCCTCGCCGTCGTTGGGTGGTTCACGTAACCGCTGGTCGGTTACGGCTTCCTCCACCACCAAGTCCATGCTTCCGAAAACAAACAATACAGTAAAACTAATCCCATACCCGACTTGGAATGGTAACCGGACGAGAGGCCGTGGTTCGCCATATGGATAAGCCGTCTTATCGGCTTTCCTCTCCCCCGGGATAAATATGTAAATCCTATCCAATTCTATCAGTGCTTTTATGTTTGTATATTAACACATGTATGAACCATAGTTATATTCCTGCATCCTCCCTTTCAAGTTCTATTCAGCCTATAATTAAGAACAAAAATGGTGACATTTGTAGTGCAAGTAACTACAGGCCTATTGCAGTGGCCTCTGTCTTATCCAAGATTTTTGAAAAACACATTTTAAATAACATTGGGTCTTACTTAACTACATCTCACAATCAGTTTGGTTTCAAGCCTGGTCACGGGACTGACATGTGCATTTTTACAATAAAGCAGCTAGCTACTTATTATTCCCAAAAATCATCACCAGTTTACATAGCTTTTTTGGATGCCACTAAAGCTTTTGATAAAGTTAATCACTGGACTCTTCTTCGTAAATTAATTAACAGAAGAATCCCCAAAATTTTTTTGTCGCTGATTGTACACATGTATCGTAATCAATCCATGTTTGTTAGATGGGGTAGCAGTGTGTCAGATCCTTTCTCTGTCCATAATGGTACCAAGCAAGGTAGTATATTAAGTCCATATTTATATGCTGTTTTCATGGATGACCTTTCTGTTAAGTTGAATCGAGAGACCATTGGATGTGTAGCAAATAACAATATTATCAATCATATTTTTTATGCTGATGACATGTGTTGCATTTCACCTTCAGCCAAAGGTCTTCAACGTTTACTTAACATATGCGATAAATACTCTATTGAACATGACATCTTGTACAACTCGAAAAAATCTGTTTGTATGGAGGCGCAGTTCTTACCACTTCATGGCAGCTCCTGCCACGAACGAACCGCGGCAGCTCTTGCCATGGTTTTATAGCGCTATTCAGTAATCAGTTTTAACGGTATATTCACAAATTAATGTACCAGATTTTAATTGATCATGTGGAATTATATCTACTTAAACCCTAACCCTAACCCCAAATCAATCAAAACTGTATCCATAAGAAAAACGTTCCAACTTACCCAATATTTGTCACCATAATAGACAGCCCTGTCTTTACGGCCCACCTGCCGCGGTTACGGCAGCAAAATTTTACCTGCCATTGGTTTTCAATTTGCTGCCGCGGTAACGGCAGCTCGACATTGGTTTGTGGCAGCTAAAAAGTCAGTTGCCATGAGTTTGGCCGTAGCGGCCATGGTATGGAAATACTGCCATGGTTTTGCGGCAGCTGCAGATGCCACAGAATACTTAAAACTGCACTTGTTTGTATGTGTATCCAGAATAAAAAGTTTAGGCTGAATATTTTGCCTGATATCAAACTTTGTAAATCTGTATTGACTTATGTTTCGTCCACTAAATATCTTGTTGTTTTCCTATCCAGTGATCTTAGAGATGACCTTGACTTGAAACGTCAGTATAAATCAATTTATTTTATAGCCCATACGATTTTGAAAAAATTTGTCAATTGTTCCACTACTGTGAAAAATCTTTTATTTAGGACGTATTGTTGTAGCATTTATAACTGCCAGCTTTGGTTGTTTTTCAATAATTATAATTATAAAAAAGTTGAAATTTCATATAATAATGCTTATCGCGTAATTCACTGTGTCTCTAGATCTGAGAGTGTCCGTCACAAAATGGTATCTGGAAACATTCCCTCTTTCGAAGCACTCAAGCACTCCATAGAAAAAATCTGTGGTTGTTCATGACGAGATGCAGGAACTCCAATAACATTCTATTACAATCAATATTTGATTCCCAGATACTGTTTGTTACGGGCTACCTTAGATTCTATACCTCACTTTTGGTCTCTTAAATTGCTATATTATAACTCTTTTTTGAGACTTACTACTGTGAATCTGATTGTCATATCAGTTATTTTATGTATTTATTGCCTTATTTTTGTTTGCTTATGTTTATTTGTTGTGTTGTTTTTATATGGACCACAGCGGTCTGGAGTAATAAACGAATTGAATTGAATTCGTAGTACTAGGCCCATACTATGTTGCCTCCTTGCAATCGAGTAAAGTAATATTTTCGATCAAGCTTTTTGCATCACATTTTGACTAAGTTATTTTATTCGATTCCTACTTCATTACGGAAACATCTTTTATTTTTGACTTAAATACAGTAAATAGTTGTTATTAAATAATGGATATTACAAGAGGAGAATTCAATGATTTTTTACCAATTTCATCAAGATCAGACACCAGGTCATCTATTAGATCAGAAATGGCTAGTTCTATGGAAATACTACCTCCAGAAGAAGTAAGTTGAGAAGGTATCTTTGTGTTTTATAAGGTTTAGGGGTTATATAAAAAATGCAAATCTTGTGTGGATTGACCTATCAGAGAATAACTTTGGCCCTTTTTCTGGATGTAATATGTCAGAATGAATGTTATATGTTACATCTAACCAAAACGATTTCAACCTCAAATATTTCAGTATTTTTGAACTTTTTATATTATATATCAATGTTGCATTATTTTAAGGAAATCATAATACAGTAATAATTTACAACAAGGTGATCAACTTTGTTAATATTTCTCCTGCATCAGATACTGGTACGGGGATTTCAGATTTTACCATTGCTACATTATTAAGCATTTTGAATCAACTTATTTTCTAGAATTTCAACAGTCTTTTTATGAGTGAAGAAGTTTCTGATGATGATAATGATTCTCGTGAGGAGAAGGATTTTCCCGTTGAACGTTCAAATTTTGTTCATGACCATTTACCAAACAGGATCTTATCACAAGAATATTCAAATGAGGAAGAAGAGATTCAAGATCTTGATAGTCGTCCAAAAACATCTTCAAGTTTTGCTGATAGTGTTCCTGATATCGAAGATGAAAAACTTAAAACTTTGATTAAAAAGATGAAAAAGTATGATAGGATACTTTTAAAGAAAACAAAGCGTGAGAAAGAGGTTAGTTTTGAGACTTTTACCTTGAGATGTATCTCCGAAAACCAAACAGTGTTAGCATATCTAAATCAATATAGATGTTGAACAAAATTGTCCTAAGACTTGTAGGCTGTGGAGAGAGAGAGATATATTCATCATTTTGTCAACCAAAAAACAAACAGTCATCAATACGAAAAATATACGTAACACGAATAAAATTGCTTTGCATTCATTTCCATGCAAGATGCAACTGTGAACTGCCTTGTCCTGAATTAATACAATGCCTCCAGATGACTCCAGAGGTTGTGCCACTATATTTTAGAATACTGAATAAATTTAATTGACTTAATATTATCAATTTTCCCCAAACTACTGTAGAACTGTGTTTACTATTCGGCATTACAGATCCTTATTATTGTCTGTAACTAAATTATATTTTTATCAAAACTTATGTATTTGATAAAAGCACTGGATTTAAATAATTTTTGAATAATTCAATAAGGTAAAAAGACAAACATTGATATTTCAAAAACAATTACTGGAAGAATTGGCATCAACAACAGAAAAAAATGAAACAACAGCTAACATTGGAAAATATATTGCACTAATGCCTCCACCTGCTCAACTTCAAGGTATCTTATATTTGCTTGATCAAATCTGCATTGCTTCATCGGCTCAACTAGAAGTCTCGACGCTTCCAACAGAATGTGAAATACCGTATATTAAAATACGTGGCGCTCATCGTTTAACTCAGACATCTGTGAGATCGGCATGATAATTTTAGGGGATGTGCATTTCTGTTGGGGATTTAATAAAATATGCCTATCTAAACAGGTTCAATTTTAAAAGCAGGTAGTAGTAGTAGGCAAGTGAAAAAAGGTAAGCATTTAGATGAAACTGGATAATTTATTTATTCACCAGCTATGACTTCTGTAAAGAAACTTGATGTTCTTAAATTACAACTTTTTCGACCTTTGTTAATATCTGTAAAGTTAGATTGTCAACAGTCTGAAATGCAAATCATTCTCCACAAATAGTCTCGTGCATATTCCATCATTTGAATATTTTCATTTTCCAGAAATGTTAGATCGACTTGATAAAGATGAATTTGTTCCCATATTTCCAACACAAATCAATTTTGAGGTGAGATGTTTGGAATAGGCTATGACTTTGATTGATATTTTTTAAATAAAATTTGGCAAGATTGGAAACACAGCATTTCATTACTAGCTTTAATTTTCAAGATTTAATGACAAATTTTAGTCTGTGCATGTTTACAAAAATAGAAATAGAAATGTTTCACATATTCATGAACTTGCAGTTGAACTTTTTTATTTTTTATTGACTTCAGTTATTTTATGTGTGTGTATTCTACCCAACCCACAATAGTACGATTGTATCAGGGATCGAGTCTACTAAACAATTTTTATCCATATTTTATTAATGAGACACTTCGATACCTTTTGAATGCAGACGGGAACCTCGTTTTCTGTTGATCATCTGTTTTATAGCATAATATTGCATCTCATTAAAGGCTTAGTTACAATCTCTCTTTGAACATATTGATAATGTATAGTCAATTAACGTAATTTTCCATGATAGAAAAATGGAAATAGTCACATATTACCTGGGTCAGCTTCTCTTCCCCGGTTTGATAAATATGATGACATGGAAGAGACTAAATCTTCTGGGAGGTCGAATACTAATGCAGATACAAAACAACGGTCTAGTTCTGCAAAATCTGCGCAAAATGGGAAAATTGACTTTATAAAGAGAAATATAGAGGTTTGTGTACCATTTTGATGATATTTTTCATGGCAGTTCGATGTAAGCAGGTCAGGTACATGTTTTTTATACATAATTGAGAATGATGAATAATGAGTAAAAATTGGCTCTGCGGCTTTGTAACCGAAACGAGTTATGTGCGAGAGGATTGCTGGAATCCTCGCCGCCGTTGGGTGGTTCACGTAACCGCTGGTCGGTTACGGCTTCCTCCACCATCAAGTCCATGCTTCGGAAAAACAAATACCTAACTAATCCCATACCCGACATGGAATGGTAACCGGACGAGAGGCCGTGGTTCGCCATATGGTTAAGTCGTCAAATCGGCTTTCCTCTCCCTCGGGATAAATATGTAAATCTTATCCTTAACTGCAAAAAGGACTCATCATGAAAATCAAAATAATCGAATAAGTCTTGATAATATTTTATTCCAGCTTGCAAAAGATGCAGGTAATTATATATCAATGACTGAAGAAGAGAAGAAAAGACTGAACGAATTACTTTCTGATCTAGATCAATTTGAAAACAGCCTTCCAAGTTTGGTCAGTATTTTAACAATATAAAACTAAGTTTTAGGAAAATATAAATATTTTTTCCTATTCGACAATGTTGTATTTTTGTTTTAATACACATGTACCGGTAAGTTTGAAAGTGAATATAAAAAAGTTCGGCTTGTTTATTTTTTCTTTTAAAGAATCCACTCAGAATTTTATTTAATGGTAAAAAATTTTGAACTAACTGTAGTGACATGGTGTCACTGGTAAAACCCATCAATTCAAACACTATATATTGATCACCTCACCTGGGCTGTAATAATAAACTGGGTATCAATGATGGACCAGAAATTTACGGTACCGTTTTTTCTAAAGGTGTTATATCTTTATGAAACTGGGGTTGTACAGTCTTGTTCAGAATAAAGATTCAATAACTTGTAATAAACAAATTATAAGATATTGCAGCAAACCTTTGAATTAGTCATTGCAGCAAACTATTAATGGTAATTCGCCATGTTACTCAATTTTTTTATCTGTTGAGATCAGGTTTTCAGGAAAATTTTTTTTTTATCACAGTGGTGATGATATATCTTGACTAAATTCTAGTGTTTACAACATTTTATATCTCCTAACCTACCTGTAGGAAGGAAGCGATGCAATCACAAATCCTGGATTGTTTTTGGGAGATGGATACAAACCTGATGTTGACCAAATGAAAAGATTAGCAGAAATTGATGAGAAAATCCAAGCATTATTACCATCAGATGAATTTGAAATGATTTGTGGAACACCACATCTAACTGATATGAAATTCCAGAATCAGGTAAATACCGACTTGACTCATTGTTGCTTTGGTACCACAGCAGTGAACCTACTTTAGATATAGGATTTTAGCCTTTTTATATGAAGTAAAAGCTGGCTGTAATACTGAGATAAAGTTATCACCATATCATATTTTTTCATCCATATTTGTGTCACTCAATACACAGAATTAGAAACTAGTCCTTTCTTGCTGCGAGTTTCATTTTGACTCCAATAGAATTGAAATTTTAAGTTTGAATTACTATGTCTGATAGTAGGATAGGATTTACATAATTATTCCAGGGAAGAGGAAAGTCGATAACACGGTGTAATCATATGGCAAACCACAGCCTCTTGTCTGGTTATCATTCTTTATCCATTTTTTTGTTGATAGCAGAGGAAGCTCTACAGACCCCCGGTGACATGAATCACCCTGCAACTGCGAGGAATCCTCTTGCTCATAATTATTCTCCATAGGATTCGAGTCTATGAACCTGAGTAGAGTGATCAGCAGTGTAGTGGGAGTGGCAAGTTTACTGCTAATGCATAACATGATGCGCCACACTGTCAAGCAGCTTAGACTGCAAGATTTTTTTGGAGTTGTTTAGCTATTTAATTATTTCCTTGATTAATGTCTTTTCCATAAAATTGTTATCTAGTAGGTTATTGAGAATCAAGGCATTGTCGGTACGTAACTGCAATGAAAAATCAACTTGTCCATATTTCTTTTCAATAAAATATATATTGAGTATGAGGATTTTTGTTTCTGATTATATTTCCAATACTGAAAAATAGTTTTTTTTTATTGTTATATGATTGTTGGAGCCCCAAATTGCAATTATAGTTATTTTTATTGGTATGTTGTGCCATGCTGTAGAATTTCATTTAAATAATTCATCATTTTTTCTAGGATATCGAACATCTAGGAGAAAAAATATATTTTAATGACAATCAAGATTCTTCAAGTAATCTAGAGGCAATTCAACAAAGATTAGAAAACATTGATCAAGAATGGAAAGAAATGGTAAGGAAATATTGCTTAGTGAGCATTAGCAAGCAAGCGAGCACAGCAGACTGGTTACGTTCTTGTTTGGCTTCCATGGAATTGGAATGTAAAGATGTACTGACTCCCGTTTAAATTTATATCATATAGGGGTGGCTCTAGTGGAGTGCTCTTCAACCGGGTATACGGTTTACCCAAGTGTATACCGGGCCATAATTTGGGTATACAACTGATAAAGGGTATACGAAGGGTGTACAGCCTAAGTTGGGGATTCTGAATTATGATATAATAAATTATAAAATATTCAAGCGGAGACAACAATGCAAATGCGGCGCAAATGAAATATAAAAATGACATTACGCAAAGAACCAACATGAGTACATTGTTACATCACAAATTATATAGATAATGCGGTCACGTGACTGGGTTGGTGATTTCGGCTGCCGTGTACTTCGTTTGATTTACGTTGAACATTATTCCCGTTAACGATAAGGTCGTCAGTCAAATTTATAACTTGCGGACACTAGCCTATCAGATTGCATGATGATGTTGCAGTACAATATGTGCTTGAAATTCAATGTCTTTTTAAGCCTTAAATAAACATTGGTATTTGTGAGGTATACAAAGCCCTTGAAAAATTGTAAAAGGTATACCACGATAAAAAAGGTTGAAAAACACTGCTCTAGTGCTCAAGAAATTTCAATTTATGCGTGTTTCCTCCCGCCCTGAACTTACAGGTCAACTTGGATAAAAATGTATTTTTTTTGTGGTATTGGCAGACAGTATGAAAATAGTTGATTTTATAGCTTTACTTGCATCTTCCATTTGCAATAAAAATTGTTATACATTTAGTTGTATCATGATAAAAGGTGTTGCTATGTTTTAGTATGAAGGTACGACACCCAAACTCAGTAATGAACAATTACAAAAGTTGCTTGAAGAATGTTCTATTTCAAGTTCAGCGAGGTTTTCTTCGCGTTCAATTTTGAGCAGCTTTTCATCTCAGGTTCGTTTGATACTTATTTTTATATTGTTTGTTATGATGATTGTAGGCTTATCAGGCTAAGCTATTTTATCATCAATTGACTTACACTGGTATGCAATACAATGAAATCTATGGATGTTGTTCATATGGAAGACGTTTGTTGTAAACCTTGAAGTCGAGCGTGCCTGAGGTATCAGCTTGCTTTGTTAAAATTTCTTTGGTGTTTCATTTACTTTGGATGAATATAGAGTCTTAGCCTTAATATGCTTTTTCGTCAACAGTTAAGTATAATGAAGAGCAATTTTACATTTTCTATTCCAAACTGTTGCAAATTTTTGTTATTTGTAACAAAAGTAAAACAGAAAGAGATATACCAGTATGATAATATTGTGTTAAACAAGGACATGTTATTTGGCCACTATCTTATTTACTCTAGGTCAGTGGTTTTCAAACTTTTAAAGCCCTGCCCACTTTTTAGAATTTATTTCTCACCCCACCTCAAAAATAACTAAAGCAAATTGGCAGCCTCATCAAAACACCATTACATAGTTTAAGATGGAATTACCATTACCACATTCATTCAGAGACTAGAAGTTGCTACAAAGAATGAATTTTCTTGATCAACACATAATTAGATGTTTTATCCTCATACAATATGTTATGACTAGTTATTACCAAGAGGTATATAACAGTATTTTCAATAGTCTCATTCTTTCCAATCCCTAATGAATATTAGAAAATATATAAAATTCACTGAATATTGTTTCATTTGTTTAAAATATTTTCTGTTTTAGGATTGCTTTCGATCAGAATCACAGGCATCAGAATCTACAAATAAAATGGAAGAAGATATTGCATTTAGTGGCTTCATGAATTCTGTTGTTCCTGTATTATCCCGGGAAACTTTGGATAATTTGTTAGATGAGGTATTTAATTGGAAATGTCTAGATTGGAAACCTGGAATGTGTTTTTGTAACTATGATGTGTACTCATATGGTAGTTGTGTTCATCTAGGCAAGGCAGTCTTTGGGTATTTCCGATGTTGGTTCTAACGAGAGTGTCACTAATATGGATGATGAAAATCGGGGAAATTCTCCTTTATTTCGAGCTGTTGCGAGGAGTCAAAAAAAAGGTCAGCTTTTTGTAATTGAGGTAACAGTTACAGACGATTGGAATTTTTTTTGGTCAGTTTTAAGTTAATACGAATTGGACTTGTAGGCACGTAATATTTTGAGAAATATTATTTTATAGCGGGGGTCATAGGCTAAATTTTTTTACTATGGTATGGTAATATTTCAAGCTCAACTGATTCGAAAAGTAACTTTGTGAGAAGTTTTCAAATTTTTACATAAATGTATTTAATTTAAAAATGAATATCTTCTTATTTAATGCTTCTCGAAGTCTTGTTCAACAGAATCATTCCTCTGTCAACTTGATATGTCTTGTTTATAGGTCACTGCAGTAAGCACTAAGGACTTGTTTATGTCCACATTCCATTGAGAAACAAATTCATGTTGGTTTTCTTATTTGTAGAAGTTATTTTTTTTTTAATTAGTCTTTTTGTTGATTCAACATTTGGTATATTCATTCATGCTGATGATTTATTCTTACAGAAAATTCTAACCTTCCTGCAATTGTCTTGGAGGAATTTCGTCCTACTTCAACTTCTCCTGTTCCGGTATAGTGTTACTGTCTATTGCATCTCATGAAAAAAAAAGTTGGTGACTACCGCTGTGAACCTATTCCACTTTCCCTGTTTTATGTATACATATTTTTCATATATTTTTATACTTGAATACGTTTAGAAATTATCTTTGCGTATGAATTTTGTGTTAGATATTCATAGTAGTACAGATTAAGGTGTAAATTTAACACTACCTATATGACCCAATTGAGTGTATTATTTGGGAGGGTATTTCCTTTTTACTGATGTATCCAGCTTTAGTTTCAGCCCCAGATACAAGTCTGAAATTATCATTCGGGAGTATTCAAGATTTTTGAAAATACAATTTCAATAAAAACATGCTCTACTGTAAGTGTAGCTTACACACATTGATGGGTATTTTGTATCTCAATACTTTACCCCCTGACGCATTGTGGTATAAGTATGTGTAAGGTAATATCTTCCACTATGACTCCGAGTTACAGGATAGGATAGGATTTACATATTTATCCCGGGGGAGAGGAAAGCCGATAAGGAAGAAAGCCGGCTTATCCATATGGCGAACCACGGCCTCTCGTCCGGTTACCATTCCAAGTCGGGTATGGGATTAGTTATATTGTTTTGTTTTCAGAAGCATGGACTTGATGGTGGAGGAAGCCGTAACCGACCAGCGGTTACGTGAACCACCCAACGACGGCGAGGAGTCCAGCAATCCTCTCGCACATAATCATCCCTGCATGAGATTCGAACCTGCGAACCCACGCAGAGTAATTAGAGGTACGGTGGCGAGCGTATTCCTAACGCTTAGCCCGTTGAGCCACACCGCCGTGTAGAGTGGTTTCCTGTCTCCTGGGTCGCTGAATATCTCCAATCTGTGCACCAACAACTGACATATGAACACTAACAATCCCACTGATGCCTATGAGCGCATCTCGCTGCAATCTTGAAGACCATACACCTTGAACGCGGAACCACTAACACGCGCCATTCTAGGCAACAGGGTCATACCGAGAATCATTCGCGGAAAAAAAAAACACAACTGAAGGAATACGTCGATGACACTGGCTTTTTGATAAGATCAATCGACTCCCTCGACGATATTTTCAGCGAACTCACCAACTTCCTAAGTGCCTCAAAGTGCTTACTTGGAGTGTATACGGTTACGATTCGGATATAATATTTTTTTCATATGATGAATATTTTTTCGAAGCACGCCGTAATCTGATCTTTGAGGTATTTAAAAAAATCACCGCTCTCAATCATCTAACACGACGCCTTATGGGAATTCCGCACGCAACTATTGAAACACCCCCATTATTTTTACTAATATATTTTAAGTATAAAAATTTTGAATGTCGCGATTTCGAGGAGAATCATAGCTGAACACGTTGATACTTGTCATGTTCAGTTGCATCCGAAGTAAGTTTAGCCATCCTGATCGTTATAATTGACCATTTGACAAAGGCGTTTCTTATGATGTCATAGGTGGAATGCGATCTCATTCAGACGAAAATACCGGCCGATTCAACTTCGCTTCAAGGTCCGCCCCCCCCAATAATATACTGACGTATAGCGCCGTTTGGTGACCGTACATTTGAACCCACGTACATTTGAACCCATGTGTATATCCACGGGTTCAATCTATATGCGGGTGCTAAAACCCATGGGTTAGTATGGGTTTAACTATCCGTGAAACAAAAAAAATTCCATCCGTGCAATACCATACAGGTGCAATTGTCATGGGTTCAAATGTACGTGGGTTCAAATGTAATGGAACCGCGCCGTTTTATTGGCGCATCATCTCGTCAACAGAGTTGTATTCCTCGGCTGTAAGCATGCATCTCTGAACATTGTTAGCTATGGACGAATTTTCCATAGCTTGTCAGATTCAGATATTTCATTTCGTTATGCATGAAATTTTGTCAACGAATAGTTATAATAACAAATTAAATGTTCGCAATTGACGAGGAGTCGCGAAAGACTACCAAGTCATCGCGTCAGCAACACCTATAAGTATCAGAGTGTTTGTCGTTGTCTGGAACAGCCAAATTGTCTACAAAATGCAGAGTTCTCAGCAATGTTTGAAAACGGTTGCGAGACGTAACTTTATTCACTGGCTCATAAAAGGTTGAAGTTTCCAAAGACATACTTACACTAGGCACCTGCACTATACTCACGTTCAAGTACATTCCTAATATATGCTCAATTTCCGTTTTGTATGTTTTTTCCAAATTTCCATTCAGAGCAAGGGTCGGCAACCTACGGCCCGCGGTGTAAAATAATCCGGCCCGCGACGCTTCACTGAATTATAGTAACAAAACGACTGTTTTGAAGATGATATTCTTTACATAGCAGAATTTATTCTGAGACACGTGTAGACTAAATTATATTATAACCTAACAAGCATATAATTCTCAATTACTCGTTCAATGGGCCTATAATTGAATTATAATTAGACAAATGCAACAAACCGTAAAAAAGTTGATGCTAAGTGCAAAGGGTTCAATGGCGCAGAAAATATTCAAATGGAATTTTTCGAGATGCAATGCAATGAGGAAATAAATCTATACTCGATTCCAGAGATGTATCACTATTTGAATTTTATCTCATTGAAGGAAAACCCTATCCAAATTTGACAAAACATGCACAAAAAAGTCACATCGACATTTAAAAGTACATATGCGTGCAAACAATTATTTTTTTTCGAAAATGAACATTACTAAGAACAAGTTGAGAACTCTAATTAGTGATTCCCATTTAAAAAATGTTTCAATCTTGGCTTCATCCAGTGTGCCGACGGATTTCAAAAACGTATCAAGCGTGATACAACAAAAAGTGTCACATTAAATGTCATTTAATTTTTTTTTAAAGTAAGACGACTAAGTTGAGTTCACGAGTTGTCGCAGTCTTCGCGCGCTGCTTAAAAATTTCAACTACCGATCTGAGTGAAAAATTGTGATTCATCGGCCATCCATTCGTTTTTTAACTTCTTAAAAATATGTGCGGCCCGCCAGGGCTTGCAAACCCTTAATTTTGACCCGCGAGCGACAAATTGTTGCCGACGCCGCTGTAGAGGTTTGTTTGTTCTGTCGGAAGTTGCAGCATTTCCTCTGTCACAAAACGCCGGAAATAACGCAATGGCTTATCCACAATTACATCAACTAGAGCAGGGGTGTCAAACTCGTGGGTTTTTGAGGGTCGCCTTGCATTTGGGGAATTGTGCAAAGTGCCGCAAACAGTTTTTGATATATATATTTTGATAATGTATACTTGAAGCATATTTTTAGATAGGTGTAGTTTGTGACATATATTGTGATGCAATTAAACATCCGAATGAAGTTTTGGTATTTTCTTAAATTTCAAATTCCATTTACATATTCATTTTTGCATTCCAGTATTATTGCAATCTAATGTATTTATTACGAAAAATCATAAATTTTTATGTACAACTATCCTAAACATTTTTGAACAAAGTTTTGACAAGGAAAGAATAATTAATACACTAAAAATGACTCAAAATATACAGACCTAAAATACTACAGAATAAAATCAATGTTTTTTTTTATTACATATGTCCTGACGTTTGGCATTTCTTTTGTGCCACCAGCTTATCAGGCTGAGATGATTTTACAGTACCTACTCTAATTAACGAGGTCACATGATCATCGGTTGATCTGGATCGTTGGGAATGTTTAATTGATTTTAGTAATGCAAAAATATTATGTTTATCATTTCATGTATAGATCAGTAAACAAACAAATGACTGACTGTTCGGACCAGACATTTCCTATCATTACGTGGCATAGGACCGTTTGAGTTATGATTGATATTGATTTTTAGTAGGCTAACTAGGTAGTCTCATAATTATGATAATATATAAACACATATGATAATATACAAACACATAAAAAAATTTCGTTCGAAGTTGATTTTTGAAATAGTCATATTGACTGCTGAGCTTATTCTAATAATGTCTACTTATATTGTATTCTTTCATTGTACTGATGGAAATGTGACAAATTAAACAATGTGCTCAAGAATTTGAAGAAATGTACAAATATTGCAACTTCCATTTTTTTTTCAAAAATGCCTCTTTCTTCGTGTACTTTGCGTTCTATTTAATCCTAAAATATTTTTTTTCAAGTATTCTTTTGCTAGCTGGCGGTATATCCATAATTGGATCAAACTGCAAACAAACAAAAAAATAATTTTCCAAAACTACTTTTAGTAAATTGTCGTTTTCTGTTTGAACAACCGATTCACTTCAAAAGGTTGAAAAATGTATTACATTTAGATAAAAAATAACTTACAAAATTATTCTTAAGCGTTCGAGGGCCACATTGGAAGTGCTCTGGGCCCAATGCAGCCCGCGGGCCGCAAGTTTGACACCCCTGAACTAGAGGATCCAATTATGGACCGGAAAATGTTGTATCAGGTCCATCAAACAGTATCTTTCTCCACCGAAACCCATAGCGGTCGGTTGTATTTTCTATTCGTGTCTATTTTTGATTTTGCACTGGTAGACTCGCCAAAGGAACATTGTCGTCAGAAGTTTTGGATTCAATCTGTAAAATGAAAATAAAATGAAAGTGGAAAAAAGATCAATATTATTCATAGTTTTTATCAATGGGTGAGCATAATATTTGTCAGATCAGCTTTTCGGTGTCTGTGAGTGATAATTGAACGTAAGCAGTTGCGTAATGCTTCCTAAGGAATATCGTAGCTATCTTACCCATTGCAAGTACCTCCTGCATCATTATCATCACAGTTCAAAATGAAAAGAATATCATTACGGTAGCATTATACACACTTGCGTTTCCAGTTTTTCGCGAGCTGTTTGATACAACGTCGTTGGATACAACCGATGCCATGTTATATACCAGTGGTTCTTAAAACTTTTTCGAGCGCGACTTATGATAGGGTTACCATATTCGAAAGAGTCAAATTCCGGACACATTTTTCTATGAGACGTTATATCGCGCGCCTGTGGCGCGCGAAAATTTTTTGGCTTTTATGACGTCATAACCGCATATTTGACCCATGCGAGGTGCAGTCTGCCCAATTATAAAGTATGTAGGAGTACTTGGTTGGAAGTATAATATTCGTATTTCAAACGGATTTTTCTTTTCGGTGGAACTATTCTTGAGCAGATATATTGCAGCAAGTTGCATAATGGTTGCACAATAAAAAAAAAATCGAAAGTCGAGAAGGGGGAGCAGGTTGTGCACCGTTGCCCTAAATATAGCTACGGACCGTCATTGAAAAAAAAATCTCAACTTTAATCTCAAATAATAATGACAATTAGGTTGTGCCGAACAGGAAAAAAAGGAATTGAAGACACGCTTGTAAGTCAAGTCACTACAAATTTACTCTTCTGACCATGCATATTTTTCTGAAGATCTAATTCTCCTCAATAGGGCCTTGTCTGATTTTAAAAATGAAAAAAATTCACTACAGCTCATATTTTTGAAATTATATTGAACAGTCAATATGCCTTTCATGGTCGCAACGCTCAGCTTGTTGCTCTCTTTAGTCCACTGACTTTGCATCAGAGAAAAGACTCTCTCTACATTGGCATTGTGGGATGTAACAGCAAAGAAAAACTGTACAATCCTTAAAATTTCTGAGTGGCATGTGATGTTCGTAGACTGATCGAAATATTTGCACCATTTCTTATGCGTTGGCAGTTTAATAAATGCTTCGTCCTGTACGTAACTTTCCACAAAATGCCTCAAGTTACAGATTTGGTCAAAGCCCTTTGCATCGTCCACATCAACCCCTTTGCCAATCAGATATTCCAGGCAAGGCTCTACATCCTTCCAACTTGGTATCTCGTTCAAGGTCATCCATTTGAAACAAGTAAACTCTTCCATTGGTTTCATCCATTTACACAGGTACTCCAGGCATCTCTCATAGAGGTTTGCAACTTCGGAAAGAAAATTGTTACATTCATCTTCATATCCCTCTTCTCTTTTTTCATTTAAAAGCCTTTTAACCGTCAAGGACATAAAGCTTTCATTCTTCCTTTCCACAAGCACCTTATGAACCAGCTCCAAATTTTCTAGCACTTCTGCGACGGAATTGTTTTCTCTCTCAACCACTTGAATACGTCCATGAAACACGGACATCAGTGAGTGCATATGCCAAAGGTATAACTCGCTCATTTCATTCTCAAAGAACCGTTTAATAACTATTGGTGGATGTTCTTGTGACAAAAAGTAGGACTTCAGGGGTGAAAACATTTCTAACAATCTTGAAATTCCAGGAAACAAGGAGAGCCAGCGAGTCTTGCTATGAGAGAGAAGTCTCTTGTATTCACAATTTGCAAATTCACAGTATTCTTTCAGTTGTTCAGTTCTAACTGTGTAAATAGAAAAATATTGATATATCTTATTGATATTATTTTCAATATCGATGTTCATTCTTTCAGCGCCATGATGAATACAATTGTTCAAAACGTGTGCTGGGCAGCCAACCCCAATCAATGACGGGTTTAACATTTTCTTTAACTTTGCAAACACATTGTTTCCTTGGTCATTACGCTGAAGTCCTCCAAACATAGTATTGCAGTTGTCTCCTGTAAATGACACACATTTTTTCAAAAGCATCATTTTTTCTAAAGTGTCTTTTATATAAGTGGCAATTGTGTCGGCAGTCTCGTTTGCCTTGTTTGTAAACTCAATCAATTTTGATTGCAAACCACCATTCCTCCAGTCAAAATATTGAATAATTGTAGGAAATAATTTCAGTTCATTGTGATTGCTGCCATCTGTTGCAACGCCAAAATACGCGATATCGTTTTCTTCAAAACTTTTCAGAACAGCATCAATAGAATATTGCGCAAGAACGCTAGTAACAACTTTTTCTGTCTTTGTGCGGCCGCTACTGAACTTCTTCGCTACATTAGAATCAGGGAAAATCTTTTTAAATAAAGCAGATGTACAGTCCATGGACAAAAAGCTATGATGATGCTTAACAGCGTGAAATGCAAGCGTACCTTCTGCGGCAGTGATTTCATCTTCGCATTTGCTTCCTGCTGTAGCAAAATAATTTGTCATATTCGTTGATGCAACAGCCCCTCTTACTGCTTTGCGTTATTTTTCCGATTGCACATGTGTGTTTAAATCACCATTACCTTTGTGCACGATAGATATATAAGTTCCTGATTTGCAAACCAAGCATTCTGCCTCCTAATCATTCCTGCCTTTTCTAAAACATGGATGTTTTCTTGCATCTCGTTAGTGAATGTGCACTTTCTTTTAAAATTAGCCATTTGAAATAATATCTTCTTACAATAAATACAACCCAACTAAAAATACATAATCTAAAAAACAAAGTAATTTACCATCAGACTAACTGAACCAAAAGGCTATAGGGACTATCACTTTCGATCCCGAATTCCACAAGTAAAGCTTTGTGGTATAAAACTTTTGTATTCAGCTAACTTAATAAGGGACTAGCACTAGTTGCTATCAAATACACTTGCAGCTGCTCAACGAAACGGCTAAAAAGTCAGATAATAATAATCATAAATAAACGGTAGATAACTGTGGCAAGTAACGACCAAATAAGATATCAGTCCGTCAATCCAGGCTAAGCCAGTCAATCAACAATACTTAGCAAGGTACTCAGTATAATCCATGCAATAAACGCAGCCCAGTCAGCAGTCAAAAATTCTGTATCAAAAATTCACTAGGCTTCCTCCTGTATGACATTTTAAGTTAATCTCTGATAAATGTGGGAAATCGCCTGCTTTTATAGATGGAATGTTCTAGTAACTTTCGCAGCATGTGATCTATATCTAACCAATTCATATTCAGCACAACGGTTCAAGAAAGTTCCAAGTCAGGGGTTCTCAACCTTTTTCCTGTCAATTTTTTTCTGTCAACGCGAACCTCCGGTAATCAGACACCGAACAAAGTTATGATATATTGACTATCAATTTGTTGCAACAACAATTCATTGACCTTATGTAACTAAATTAAATCTTCGTGTTGATATTATTGCCCTTGTCGCCTGCCCATCTAATGAATTCCTAAAAACTCCCCCTAGTTCCAATAACCATAATCTATTTCTCCAATGCTCGCAGTACGCTGTTTTTAGAGATTGCACAGTTTGCCTTTAAAGCCGTGAATTTCACATTGTTGCGTCACAATCAAAACAACGCAAGATCAGGAAAATAAACGTTTCAATTGGTATCTATTTTCAATGGGCACGCATTTTCCTCTTGTAGTAATGAAGGATATTAATAAACAATGTTCTGCATTAGCAGTGTTCACAGAACGATTGCAGATGCAGTAAAATTCCGGACATTTGAGCATATTTTAAAATTCTTTCCGGACGCAAAAGTCAACCCTAAATTCCGGACATGTCCGGAATTTTCCGGATGGTATGGCAACCCTAACTTATGAATACTCGCGACCCAATCCTAAATAACGAAAAATGTGTTTTAAATGTTAGTACAGTTTGACTCAAATACAGACAACTATTTATTAGAAACAGTCCATTGACTCAGTGAGATTGATCAAACTGAAATTTCCTTTTCATTATATCTTCAATACACAGCTCTATTTTACTTAACGCAATACGCAAGTTGTCACGGGTATCGAGGCGATTGCGAGCTTAGTTTTGATAACCGTCAGTGCCAAATATCCTCGCTCGCACAAGTGCCTTGTCGCGAATTGTAGCAGAAAAGGCGTCCGCCGTCCGTCGCAAACACGACATTCTAGCTGGCCTTCGGTATCTCTCGCAATATACAACTTTTTACTCATCAAATGTGCACACACTGCTTCGTTCGCGGTAAATGGTGCCTCGAGATGAAGTCACATTTTCTCTAGATATTGAATAATCTAATGTCGAGAAGCGAGCTTTTTCATTGCGTCGTCTATTACAATTTACATTACCAAAAAGACACCCATTTTTGGTTATTTTAATCCACTAAGACGACATTCCACGCGGTCATAACGACAAGCGACGTGCATGGTTACCGATACCATAAAAATAATACACGTGACTGGCATATCAGAATTGTGATGTAACAATTAGCTCAGAACAGTTCTTTCTGTGAATGAAATTTCATTATTTTTAAATACCAGAGTTTAGAAGCTAAATTGAAACATTGGGAAAGCTGAAAATTCTTCCTTCTCCTCTTAGATTGCCCTTGCATTGACGACCTTGTCGCGACCCATTTTTAAACCCTCATACTTTAGGAACCACTGTTATATACGGTATGTTAGTCGTTGGTTATATAAAACAGAATAGAAATTGTTAGCTCCGGAGCGCCACCTGACCGGCATATCGGTGCACGAAAACTGTACTGTGGAGTATCATTGGGCCTGAAAACAATTGTTGTTAAGGACATTAGTGCAAGGGTTAATCCAAAATCTGTGCGATTTGAACTTTAGTACAGAACCGGTACCTACGGTAGTACTGTACACTGATATAATAGACCGAATCTGTTAATACAACAAGAGCTGAAGCATAGAGCGTGTGAATGGTGTATTCTGTAGTTACTTCTGTGGATCTGTATCGAAAGTGACTCCTCTCTGAAAAGCTTCAAGATGTCTTGGAGTCCAAGTCCTTATCAGGATGACATGTTTGCTGATGGGCAAGGTGAGCACTTCTTTCGTAATGCGAATATTCCTGCCAATCTTACGCTTTATTACCGTACTACAATACAATTTGTTTTGATCTTTCGTCTACAACACAGTCACAAATAAAGAAAACACAGACAAGGGCTACGGTACGTAAAGATCAGGAAAATGGGCATAACTGCATAATCTAGATAAAAGCTTTAGCGAACAGTTTACAGCGTTTGTGTCCATTCACCCACACTTCTGCACTTATACATGTGAAAACACGTCACGACAATCATACTACAGTACTAAGATAAATTGAAGAACAGTGTAAGAAGAAAATCAAATTTACGGGCGAAACTTACTTCAGTAGCCTACTTGTAAATTTGTAAATAATTTTGATGAGTGAAAGTCGTGAAGAATCCAAAAAAAATTACGGTAGAAGTTATGTGACAGTACCTGTGCCGAAATGCAAATAGGGTGGCTTACCCACTTTGAGGCCACGACCTATTTGCGGCCATCAACTTTATCGATCTAATTATTGCCAAAAAAATTAGCAAACCGCGACAATATTTCTCACGTGTTATCGTCCACTTGTCCCTCATAGCTCTGCGAAATTACACTAAAATGCGGCCACAAACAAAAAAGTTGCGACCGAAAACCCGACCGTAGGTAAAATATGGACCATTTTTTCATGTCGCCAACTACCCATTGTCACATTAAAAAAACTTGAAAATTCATACAAATATAAGAGATAAAAAGATGAAACTTGCCAAAGGGGTAGAGTTGTGTTTCTTTTAACCATCTTTAAATTTTCGCGTTTCTACATTTAAAGGAGTGGGGGAAGGGTGGTGCGCATTTCCAATACGTCGATAATATCTTTGTCGACCAATTTGCGACCACCGTGTTTTTGTCTGTTTGATTGCTGTGATGCGGTGCTTTGTATATAATTTGACCAGTTTTGTTTGAAATGACCGTGTTTCCTAAAATATATGACAGTCAGAAATGCAATTAGAAGCCCAATTTGTTCATGCATGGCTGCGTATGCTCTAGTTTCGACGCAGCAGAAACGTTGTTCAAGGCTTGAAATCCGTGGCCGCACACTGGTCGTTCGGTTGCAAATACGTCTTCCGAGTGACGTACTTTGGTGGTCTGTATAGCTTTAGAACTATTGGTTTTTGTTTTATAGAGGTTTGAATGAAATCGTCCGCAGACTGGCCACCCTACCAATAATAACATATAATTCTGTAGTTGATTTGCTGCTGTTTTTTGTATACAAACAAATCTTAAAAGTAAACAACAAACTCAATAACTAATTTCGGACTTTGCTTTTTATTTAACAAAATTAGTTTGAATTTAAAAGTTTCTTATTTGAAAATTTGTAATTCTGAGCATTTGACAAAGATGATTAGAAAATTAACTTAGTTCTGACACCAATTACCGAACCAAAATCTTCACTATGCAAACATCTCGGCTTCTCTGAACAGTGAAAAACTCATCTGATTTTCAGTCCGGATATCTCTTTTTCCTTTTTTACATGAGCTTCTTCTGAAGATATCACTTTGCCAGATCCTGGATTATAGATAAGTAGATTTGATTAAGTTTGAATGATACCTATAAATCTATCATTGCTCAGTTACAGAGTTATCGTTATTAGTTTACTCTGTTGTTGGTCAAAGTAAGCACTGCAATAATTTTAATAGGCAATGCTCACACTTTTCAAATTATAAAATTCTTTTGTTTTAATGAGTTCAATTTACAGAACCATACTAATGTATACTTTAATAGCACTTTTCATACTACATTTTTTTTTCAGATTTTTCTAAAATGACATCTTCAGAGCAGAATAAAGTTATTCGTTCTCAGTTACCAAGGTAATTCTACCATCTTTTTGCTTATTTTGATTTGAGAATGAAAGTGTATTTTTGCCAGCAATTTGTAGATCAGATTTGTCAACTTTAATTCATATGAATAAGAAGTTTCAAAATACAAAATCAACATTGGTAAATGATATAACGTCTATGATAACTCCATCATCATGTATTTAGAACTTTCTTATATGACATTACATATATTTAAATTTTAGTGTACAAGCTCTCCATGCGGGTGGAGGAACTACAATTCGTCGAAAGCGAACTACAAAGAAAAAATCAACAAAAAATAAAGTTGCAGCTGATATAAATGAGAATGATGAAGAGGTAAGAATTTTATTGTTTTTCAACCAAAATGATTTTTTACATTCGATTTCCAATGCACTAGATATTAGCTATTGATTCATTTTCTCACTGTCAAACAAGACATGGAGTCGAAAGTCGAGCATTTTTTTTCGTTTTACATGTGAGAGCTGTATTGACATTTTCAATTGAAAGTCGTAAATGTCAGTAGGCCTATTGAAAGGGTTGTGTAGCGTAAACTTAAGTCGTGCGTTCGGCTATTGCAATTTGGAGCCGTTTGTCAAAATTAGGTTGAAGCAGTCAGTTTTTGCTTTTAGCACAGAATGGAGTGCTTCCTAAATTCAATAGCCTAGCAAGAGCAAAAAAATTGAAAGGTGTTGATTTGATCAATTTTGACGGTCAAACCAAAAACCACAATGGCTATGGGTTTCGAGCTAGAGTCGTTGTGATTTTAAACCAGCAGTCTAGTCCTGCCTAAACCATTATGTTAGCAAATTATATCTTTCATTTTGCATAGAATACTGGTCGTCATTCTACTCCAAAAGTATCAGGAATGGGTGATGTTTTGTTTGAAGATTTTTCGTGGAAAGATGTCGAAAATTTGAAAGAACTTACCTATAGTATGGCAAGGAAAAAGCAAATCAGGTGATATATAATTGATTTCACTTTAATATGTGACATAAACTGTGTAGTGTGTCATGAGTTTATATGCTGGACAAAAGTTGTCTTTTCATAGAAATAGTCATTGGTTAATATTCTTCAAAAAAGCTTTGAAACTTCTTGGTATTTTGTCATTTAGATGAATAACCTTATTATTGAAGTCACCCTTTGTATATCATACTGTCTAGGTCATGATGTTATCATAGTGTCAGGGCATGTTACTATTATTAATAAAGCAGAAATGGTTGATTATCAAATCAGCGAGGTACCAGTATCTTCAATGTTGTAAAAACACACATTGCATTTAATACATTGTAAATTTATGTGTTCACTGAAGCTGAATAACTTGCTATTGCGGAAATTTTTTAAATGTTGTCTGCAACTGCAATATAAAATAATTTGATCATAATTAATAAAAAAAAATATTTTTGCTTGGGAATATGTATCTTTGAATAGGTGGATTTTAAGAAGCAAAACTAAGGACAAAGTCAATATTGTGTTCAATGACTTTTGTCATTGTCCATGTCATGCTGATCCGTTTTTTTGATTTCATCAAATTGAAATGTTAGAAAGGAGCTATGATATTGATGATAAATGATAAATTTTATATCAGAGGAGTAAACACTAAGTCTGCTATGTATTTAGATGGAGAAATGGTATTGTAGGAAAACTCCTATATTGTAACAAAATTTTCAATACCATATTTCAAATTCAAATAATTGCATTCATTTGGATATTGCTTGTGAAATTGTATTTCAAATCATGCAATGCTTCTATTATATACGCGAGATTTCAAAATAGTGTACATAACAAATCATGAAGTATCCACAACTGAAAGTATGCTTTAGTTACAGCAGATATATTTGATATTCATGTCAACATTCACTTTTGTATGAATTTCATAATTCTATTATAAGATATTGACAAAAGAGGTTTATTGTTGTCGAATGAAAGAGACTAAGTTGCCTATAGATGAATATAATTCCAATTACAATAAACAGTATATTTAGTAATACAATTGGTGTTTTTGAAATTTCTTGTCAAAAGCAACCCATAGAAATAACTAACAATACATAGTAGAGACTAAAAAGCCTGGTTTCGCTTAATCGAATTATAAATCAAACTTTCATCAATACCACTTTCGTAATTGGAAGTTTAGTTTGACAAAACCATAATATTGTATTAAAGCATGTGTTGATGGGGTATGTTCCTAACTGCTGCAATGTATAGTGTCAGTGTGTGCAATTATACTTATTATATATTACTGTTTTGCTTAAAATTTGTTCTAAGATTTGATTTGAAGAAAGTATTTATTAAACACTGTAAAGGAGATGGAATCAACTAATATAATCACGCTTTTTGAGACTGAGATCTGAATTATGTCCTATTGATTATTTTTGTAATTAATTTGTTTATACCTTACATAATCTAATTACTGCTGACAATTCATGACCAATGCTCAATATATTTTTGCAGAAAACAAGTTCAAGAGAGCAGTGGTCTTACTGTTACATCTGGCTGGAAAAGGGAAAGCAGTCTTGTAAGTTCGGCTTAAATATTGAAATTCATTTTAGTCTAGTCGGAAGGGAAAATTAAGAATTTCATACTTTTTGTCATGTCTGAATTCAAACTTATATACAATGACATACATTGGGAAAATTCTATGCAAAAATACTTTTATATTTTGAAGCATTGCAGTCGTGATCTAACTTTCAATTAGTGCAAAATTTTGTTGCTTTGCTACCATTGACCTGTTGTTATAACTGAAATGTTCATCAAATCAAGTGTAAAGTTTTGTTGTTTTTCCTTCATTTGTTCTTGCCTTCATTGTACTCACAATGAGAACTCTTAGTCATTGTTTACTTTGGTGTTTGTTGTTAGAAATGGAAGAGATTCAAGGAAAACACCAATGAAGTCTTCCGCTATTGTCAATTGTGGAGATCTTCTATTCACGAAATTGAAGGTGTGATTATTTGATGTTTTCATTGTGGTATCATGTGATACATGACGTCACATCATCGAGTGTCATTTTGCGTTTGTTTTATTAACATGTTGACCCATTCTATGAAATTTTCCGTTTATGGCTTTTCATTCAATTTAACAGGCTGTTTAGTTAGTGACGAATTGAGTCACTTTTATTATTACAGGCACCGCTCTTTATGTTTTCATTAAAAAAATTGAGAATAATAGAATATACATTTAAAATTATTTAAGTTTGTATATATTTTTTTCACTCTAAAATCCTGCAGTTCTTATAATTTGTATATACATAATCAATGACACATAGCATGGTAGCCTATGAGATATGAGTAGGAAAGTTTATTCTTTTTAATGCAGTACATATCTTATGCAATATTTGTATTTCAAGAGAGATGTAGGCTATTAAAAATTTTGACTGAACGAAATTAAAAATCAATAACAAACAGGTAAAGTGTTGTAAAAATGGTAATACCATTCTGGTGTGCAATCATAATTAATGTCATTTTTCACATATCACATAAATAGATGTGATTTGACATTATTTCGCATAATTTTCACATATATCTTGACTTTTCGCAGGTTATTGAAAATATTTAATATTATGGAGTTTGCAATTAGAACTTCTATGTTATCTGATCCTCGTAGTTATTATTATTCTATTATTTCCTCTCGTAAGAAAATTCTTTTCATCAACAACAATATGGCTTATACATGCCATGTTACAAAATCTGATGAAATCAATTTGCATGTGTTCAATTTCAAGTCCAAATTTTGTTTTTATACAGGTAGATTCGGGAATGGAATTCGTTCGTACTTCGCTTTCCTGCGTTGGCTTTTTCTACTCAACTTATATATATTTACACTTGTATTTTTCTTCATCTGCGTTCCAACAATTATATTTGAAAATCTGGATACCACTTCAACTGTAACTACAACTACAAACAGTAATTTGTTTATTTTTACTGTGTTGGATTCTTCATATCATAACTAGAAATTTATATATTTTCCTATAGTGGGGGTGGCTAAGTTTTTTTTTCAAATCTGATTGGTCGGTGTGTTAAAGACATTTATTATTATACATACGTACGTCTTAAAACATGAGCTTCATAAAAAAAATTGGAAGGTGAAGATAAAAGAGATCATTCGAATAGAATTTTTTTTTAAATAGTACTTTCTTACAATTTAAAAAATTTAATCCTTATATGTGTGAAAACTCAATTGATAATATTGATTTAGAATATAAAACATTTGTTCCACGCAATTAAAATCAAACTTTTCAAGGTCACAATCAAGCTACAAATGAATACTTTGAATTGGGTTGCGCGAGTCTAACTTTACAAAACTGCTTGTCTGAGGGAGTCTGACTTTGGTCGAACGAAACATTACAGAAATACATTTGTGTTAGTGTGCAGCTGGACTCTTTAATTGGATAGAATTTAAATGAATAGTTTGGAATTTTTGATGCTTCTTGTTCTCACACTTATATGAACTTATTTATTGAATTTTTAGCCACAGAGCAGTGTGCATACAATCCATACAATTCTACTGAGATTCAACCATTCTCTCAATATATTATATGGTGGTTTACTGGGCAGGTAAATATGAATTCATTTTATGCAAACTTCTGATTTGTGTCAAATGTATTTATTCATTTTATCCTGAATTTTTTTTATAAACTTCTCAATTTTTCCCAAACTAAATTCTTTAGACATTCCATATTACTTGTGTTAACTAAAAAGCTTTCTCATAAAACGATTTCAAAAACTTCAGCAATATTCAAATTATGACACAGTATGTCGACAAAATGAAACGTTTTGATGGTAAAATTTAGTTGTTTTTGTAGCCAATTGTTTTCATCACACCGGTTGAGTGCTTCTTTGTTATGAATAATTAAAATAGGGACCACTTATGCTATTCACATTTTGTCTTTCAATAAAACTCTGTATTTAGCTATTAAGCAAACTATGTAGTTGGAAGAATAAATCTATTCTATTTATTTTAATTTTGCCTGATATCAATAGGTTTTGTAATGGCTAAAACACTCAAATTCTGGTCATTTAACTGATCCAATTCTCTGTTACTTTTACTTTTCTCTCCGAAGTTTATCAGATTCAAAGTAAAATAGTGGTGGAAACCTTCAACGTCAGTAAGTGGGAGATCCTTCATTGTTCAATTTTTAACCGGTCATAATTTATCAGTTTATTACAATTTGACTTGGGTGTCCTCAGTCCTGGACACAATAAAAGTTTATTTCATATTTGTACTAAATGGTAAAATTTAAATTTATGTTTACAGGGTTTCATGGAGAACACTCTTCTCTTTTATGGCTATTATGAAAATACTGTAAATGCTTTATCATCAAGCACTTTTTCATATAATATACCACTGGCCTATATCATGATTACATTTTCCTACTTCCTGTTGAGCTTGGCTCTTATTGTGAAAAGGTAAATATGAATGATATTTTATGATTATTTTGTCAGCAGTAAAATCACAATGACTCACTCTGAAATCAATGTTGTGACAAGAACAACAGACAAATTAATTTTTTTATGGTTTGCTATCAGCTAGACATACAGTATTCATAAAGTTCAAGATTTTTTACTGTTTCCGTACAAGGCATATACAGTTTATTGGCCCTATTACTAACTATTGTATAAAATGTAAAAATAACTCAGATGTAAAAAAAAGAAGTGAATGAACCCTCATTAAAAAAACAGGCTAATTAAGATATATTGAGAATGGATTTCATAAAAGATTGAAACTATAACAGGAATTTATGAATTAAGATTTAGGAACTGAAATATTCTTGTAAGACCATTGAGAAGTAATTTTACAATTCAGATTATAATGAGTTTAAACTGTTTCAATTGTTTTTTACAGGGCAGCTGTCGGTGTGAGAGAATCTCTCATTTCTGGTGAAAACACGTTTTATGCATACTGCAATAAGGTGTTTGGTGGATGGGATTTTTGTATTACTGACAGCAGAGCAGCTGGATTGAAACATCACAGTATTAAATATGAACTTGAGGTGAGCTGGTTTTGGAAGCAATTCTGAAGACTGCCATATTTTGGGGCACGTTTTCTCTTCTATGTGTAAATATGTAGCAATGTTTTCAATGAATCAGGGGTAGGACTAAGATATTGATTTAATATAACTTGTGGATAGATTGAATTTTCTTAAATATTATTTCTACACATACAAATGTTCAAAAAAGAAAGAGTTTGAAGCAAAATTTTTACAAAATTTAATTCGATTAGCATTAAACATGTATATCTCAATTATAGACCTCTAGTTGATGTTATTATTAATGGTTGGTCCATGTAGGCTAAACATATATAGAATTAGGATTCATGCCCTGAAAAGCAATTTTCCTATATCTACCCTTTTCTAACAAGTGCATAATAGTTAGGTAAGATGTGTCCAACTGGAATTGAAAGGACTTAGCATTTTGGAAGCACTTTATTATCTTGGTTTTACAATTGCATATGATCACCATATTTTCAGACTGATTTGGAAGAAGAAAGAATACGACAGAAGCAAGCAGCTCGTACTACTAAACAAAAGGCAATTTTGTACACCAAACGCATTCTCATTAATATACTTGTGTTGGCTGTTTTAGCAGGTGCTCTTGCTGGAATATATTTTGCAGCGGAATATGCTCTTAAGGTATTGCAAATAGATTTCATGCTAATTTTAATTCCAAGGTTTTAGACGCTGTTCGAATTACAATAAGTTTCATGCCATATTTTTACTTCACCACAATTACTTTCCTTCTAATGCCTCACAGTTTTGGCGAAAAAGTGTTATTCACCAATTCTTATCTGTATTAATAAAGGTTATGACATAGGTATAACAATACACACTGTTGAATCAATGGTGACAAAAACACCTCTTTTTTGTATAATCATAACCAAAAGTTTAAAGTAATCCAAGACGCTTTGGCCAAAATGTATGTTTCAAATGTCCTAGGTTCCGTTTTCTAGATCAGGGCTATTTAACTGGCGGACCGCGGTTCGAATCCGGACCTTTCGAGTATTGGATTTGGACCGCACCTAATTATTTATTTTGGATCATTAGCCCAACTTTTTGAATTTCCTATTATAAAATGACTTTCATAGTTTTGGATATATACGAAAAGAACTATAACACTATAATAAAAAGTTTAATTTGCTACTATGCCTACTAATCATCAGTCGGTCGAGGAAGTGCTCGTTGAAGGATGCCAAAATATCATTTCTGGAAAGGCCGGACCCAAATAATTTTGAAGTTTTGTTTGCGGACCTTCGAAAAAAATAGCTGAGTAGCCCTGTTCTAGATCAGTGATTCCCAAAGTGGGCGATATCGCCCCCCAGTGGGATTTTGCGAAACCTGTTTTATGTTCGGCACACTTAATTCTGTACTCTGTGTGCATTCGCAGGCTTGAATCACGTGGGCGATTATCACACGCGAAAGGATTTCTGGTCTCGTCTTCGCAGTAAGGCAAGGTAGTTTGCGTATCCCAGTGGTCGGCAAAATACGGCCGGAATAAAATGATCTGGCCCGGGACGATTCACTGAAGGAACCTTTCCCTGACCTTTGACCGCGGAAAATTCTTCCCATACTTTACCATTTTAAAATTTTCGGTGCTTATTTTAAGGGTGGTTTCGCGAGTTGTTGCCTGTGAAATGGGGTATTTGTTTCAATCTATCATTCTAATACACACCATTTAACAATCTGTTTTTTAAAAATACCGATAAAGAATTTTAGCCTAGGAGTGAGAGTGTCTGAGCGGATGCGAAAGGGGGCATTGTTACGTATTTTGCATCTTGCTGATTGGCCAATGTCACGAAGTAAACAAGGAAGTCTATGCCCGGGGAAATGTCCAAACGGCGGTTTTGACGATGAATTTTTTTTTATTTATAATCTACGCTCGAGGAGTAAATTACATTTTTTTACGTAACAGAATTTATCGCGAGACACGTTTATACTGAATTATACTATATCCTAACAATTTAGTGAACAGCCACTCGTTTAACGAGCCTACAATTCAATTATAATTAGACAAATGGAAACACGCAGAAAAGTTGATGCTGAGTGCAGGGGTTCAATAGCGCAGTAAATATTCGAATATATTGCAAAGCAATAAGGAAATAAAATTCATATTCTATTCGAGAGATTGATCACTGCATAATTTTTGTAAGAATGTATCTTCTTAAAGAAAATATTTATCAAAATTTCACAAATCATGCGGAAATATTCACTCCGATGTTTGGAAGTACGTATTTGTGCAAACCATTATTTTCGAAAATGAACATTACAAAGAACAAGCAAAGAAGTGGGTTTGGTGATGCACATTTAGAAAATGTTTCAATCTTGGCGTCGTAAAGCTATCCAGCGTGATGCAGCAACAAGACAGTGTCACATTAAATGTCATTGTAATATTTTTTTAATAAGACGACTGAGTTGAGTTCACGAATTGTCGCAGTTTTTGCGCGCTGTTCCGTTTTTAACTTTCGAAAAATATATGCGACCCGCAAAATACTAGCAACCCTGAATTTGTCCTGCGAGCGACATAAAATTTCCCGACCCCTGGGCCGTAGCCGAAAGTCAGTCACGTCTTCTTCCACATCCGAGTCTATGAATCCAAAAACAAATGGCTGGTTAATTATGAACTGGTGATCGGACTGGAGGCCGTGATAGGATGAGGAATCGGGAATGAATTTTTCCGAAGTTTTTTGGTGCAGGTCATCAGGCTGTACGAATGAATGAGATGTACGAAAATCATTATTATAAGTTTGGGAAAATCAACTTTGGTTTTATTATTTTAATGTGAAATGGGGTGGATTTAGGAAGTGAAATGCTATAAGACAAGAGTACACGGCGATTTTTGAGGAGGTAGAACCCTGGATTCTTTCATTTCCGACCTATTATATGGTAAAAAGGGGGGTTTTCAGCCCGGCTACTATTGCTATTAAAACAACGAAATCACCTTTCCATCAGAAAAAGGGGTAATTTTAGATAAAATAAAAAAAACTCGCTGAAGAACACCAAGCTCATTTATCTCATTAAAAAACACTATAAACTATGATTTGTCTTCTTATTTGGTCTGTAATATATTCGTTTCTGACTTTATATTTTTTTGTAGTACAGGGGGCGATGAAGTTGTATAAACTACTTTAGGGGGGCGATGGTCAAAAAAGTTTGGGAAGCACTGTTCTAGATCATCATGTACTTTTGTTGTCTCAATTCTTATAGTTTTGTTTATTGTTGATATTGAATAGTATATTTGTATTTATAATTGTTATGTTAAATCGCAGCATTTTGCCAATTGTATTGCAGTAAATCTGCCAATACTTAATGGAATTACATTTTTTGCTTTTGTATTAGCCATGCGGTACTGCTCTTCTGTTTGTGCATATTCAATTTGAGCATGTTTTTCCTAATAGAATACGTCAACGTATGATGATGAGTTTTTTCTTGATCTTCTGATCACATATCTTGTTTCGATTGTCATAACTGTTGCAAATTTTCTTGCTCCTCTGCTTTTTGAATTCTTGATCATATATGAAGACTATTCACCGGCTTTTACCATAAAATTCACGCTTATAAGGTAAGTGTTGACATTTAATTCAGTTTCTGATGACTAAGAAAAACCTTTTATTACCTTTTCCTTCTTTTCAACAAAGTCTGTTGAATTTAGGCTAGGTTATATTATCATATAAATTATATATTATTTTATATTGCCTAATTTTAAGTGATGATGCCTCTATAGGAATAAAAATTGTGCTGGTTTTTCTTAAAATTTGGATTTAAATTGGTACCTGAAATAAATAATTTATCCCAGTTCTATTATTCTTTTTAGTCAACATATATTATGATTTGTCGAGATTTTATTTTCTATATTTTTTTAGTTCAATTTTTTCTACTAACAATTATTTTTGTTTAGAACTGTTATCTTGAGGCTTGTGTCAGTGATGTTTCTGTACATTGTCGTCTATTTTCAAATCAATTGTGAAAGATATTCATTCATCGATAATGCAGATAGTAGGAACTGTGGATATTGTGATGGAATGCCTGTAAGTTGAAAAAATGTTTTGTTCTTTTGGCAGTAGCCATCTCTCAATTTTAATAGAATTTGATTAAAGCAAGGCCGTGAGCACTCATTCAGAAATAAAGAAGACTCACCTCTGAACAATAAAAGCCAGTTAGCTGGAGACTCGGTCTTATAAATTTCCACTTACTAATCTTCCTGAAGAAATCTTTCAGCCTAAAAATTTGACGGTCATTTCTCAAAGCATTTTATAAGTAAATGGACATCAATGTTACTCGCTCACTCAGTCGTAACTTATGAATTGCTAAGCTAAGTGAAATTGTATTATTATGGAATAATGTTATATATATATTAGTCTGACATCATCCACAGAGCTATTATTGGACTCTGTTCTGTTTAACGTAATTACTGGCCTGTTTGTTTTCCGCTATTGACCATCCCCTTGTATCAGAACTAATTTTATACCCAATCTGGCCCTGATTACTTGGGAGCAAACCTTGTTTTGACATTTGATTAAGCTATTGGCTTGCTACTTTTATCATGAGATAAATCATCCTTGGTTATTCTAAATTTTATCTTTTATATTACAGTGTTGGGAGACATACATGGGTCAAGAGATGTATAAATTAACAATATTGGACTTCTTTATTGTGGTTGGGGTCACACTTTTTGTGGAGTTTCCAAGAAGGTTTGTTTAGTTCTTGATTGCAAAATTTGCTACCATTGTCTTTGTTATTCAGTCAAGAATACTTCTAATAACGAGCTCTGTGAAATGAAGAATTTATTCTGTATGGAAATATTTATTTAGGATCAAATAACCAGGGATTATGTCTCATCATTTCAATTTAGGTTGATAGTTGACCATTGTAACTGCGGATTAGCTAAATTCATCGGTCATCAAGAGTTTGCGATTCCAGTTAATGTGCTGGACATTGTTTACGCGCAAACGGTCATGTGGTAAGTGCAGTGTAGTGCGTACATTGCATGCCATTGTCGATTGCATGAATTAACTTATTGCATGATTAATACCCATAATAATAACTACAGGTTCAAAAGTAACGTGAGCAAGGTAGTAATTTCTATGAGAGCAATCATGTTTAGTTAAATCATAAAAATACAATCAAAGCCAAAGGTTATGTCATGTTTCCTAACATTGACAAGTATCTTCAAGAAAAGCAGAAAATTTGTCTTGGGATTCCGTCCAAGTCTGTTAAGGTAGAATCAAATAGCTCAGTCAATATATGGGAATGCTTACTATCAATAGTGGGTAGGATCTGAAGCTAACTTATGATTTCACATCGCTGGACAAGTATCGAAGATAAAATAAACAAAAAATCTGTAGTGAGGTAAACTATTTTAGCAGATCCCTGAGACAAGAATGTTTAGTGCAGAAATCCCTGCAGGTTTATTCATCAATTCATAACATTCAACATTCTTAAACTTAGTTATTTGTGCATTACAGTCTCTTAGTAAATCATGGACATGCAAAGATTTTCAAGCAAATTGGCCATCAGCAGTTTCATATTCCATCTAATGTTCTGAGTTTAGTTTATTCTCAGTCACTTGTATGGTGAGGAATTCGTTGTTGTTAAGTTTTATTTTTTTTAAGTGAGAATAATGTGAGGTGTATAAGACTGATTTGCTTTAGTGTTATATGCATGCTTGTCTTGTAGTTTCCGATTTCATTTGTAGATGATCATAATTATCAGATGCTTATTAATTTGTTATTGAATGAATGTAAATAAATAAAATTGTCTTAGGTAATTCTTACAAAATAGTTTGCATGATTTTGATTTTTGGAATTTCCTAATCAAAGTATTCATATTTAAATTCATGGTAATTATATTTATGTTATCAATATTTGTCTCTCACATTATAATTAATCTCAATTAACAAAAAGCAAAAATCGAAGTCTTCAAATATATGTAGTAAATCTCCCAATTAAACTTGATGTGAATCAGAATAATACTGACTGCTATTCTGTAATTCTTTTTTAATTTTTATTTTTCAGGATTGGTGCATTCTATGCGCCCTTGTTACCTGTGATCGTTGTCCTAAAGTTTTTTATATTTTTTTATTTGAAAAAATTGACATTGATGTATAATTGCAAACCTGCACAACGGCCATATCGTGCGTCGAGATCTGGTACTTTCTTCTTCTTAATACTGATGTTTGGGTTCCTGGTTGCTGCTATTCCAGTTGGAGTCAGTCTTTCAATGTAAGAAATATTTCGCTCTGTTTGTGGGTGCATTGGTCTAGTAGTGCAGGTGCGCAGCCAGGATTTCAGGGGGGGTTTCAAATTCCAATGCAACGGTTTCTGAAACAGTCACCGTGATTACGCGTTTGTTAAAAGAGTCAATTTTTCGGCATATAATGACTTTTTGTCGCGTGAAATATTCAATTCATGACAATTACGAGAATTTAAAATGTCTTTCCAAATTAATTTAATTGTGTTCGTTTTGACCCACAGTTGCGTCGATTAAACAAAAGCATTAATTTTCTAAAATATCACAGCAATCCACTGGCCTAGAAAATGTGTGGAAAAGTGTCTGATTATATTCTGTTTTGATTCTTATTTTTGCGAATTCGACAAATCTGAACTGTTTGTGCAACTTCGCTCTATCGCAATGCTGACTCAGATTATTTTTAAGATACCCGATAGAAAAATCCCTAAGTCTACGATAATACCCACAGACTAAAAATTTATTTTGGTACAATAAAAATTGATACTTAACGCTAATAATCATATGTATCATCATGATCCGAGAAAAAGTCGCGACAGGGCCTGTTGGTAATTTTCGAATGAATAGGAAGATTCTTTTCATTTTGAATCCATTGCAGCTACGGCATGGTTTCAAAGCCAACCAATCATAATGTGTGCTACAGGCCAAATTATGCGACAATCTACAAAAGTCTACAAAAGCGGTGTGATACCAAAATAGAATGTATGACCCATTCATGTGTTAGAATTGTGGTTTCTTTGTAATACGATTTCCGAGAATTGAGAAACACAGTCTGAATGGACACAGTCATGACAAAATGACAAATTATGTTAATTAAGTATTTTCTCATAAAAACTGAGAAATATAAAAAATTCATGAGAACTGTAACTCATGCTTTCATTCTAAATAATAAATATTCTGTTTTCAATATGAAGTATACATAATGTGAGGCAATGGCTCTATGATTATCATGAATACAATTGCAAACAATACATTTTTACTTTAAGAATAACTCCAAGCAACTATTGTGGACCTTTTAGAGGATTGGCAACAATGTTTCAATCTGTCACGAATGCCATAAGTACATTGCCTGAATGGTTGGCAAGTATATTTTGGTTTATTGGATCAGCTGGATTCTCAATAATTATTGGAATCATATTATGGTATGTTTTGCACACGTTTCTAAATATTACGTTTCTTGTAATTTATTTGTGCAATATTATATTTATAGGTATCATTTTGAATTTAGTTTGGTAACCTTAGCAATCATTCGAACTGTAAACTATGACTTACCGATAATTTCACACAGTCTTTCTAAACTAAAAATACTACCTCAGCACGAGGGCTTAACTAATCTGAGTGAGCCTATTAACTGGTGATATACAGCATGAAAAACTTCAACAGGGCTGGTTTGATGTTATTGCGATTGTGAGAGATAATATATAAAAATATATTTACCCTGGATACCTTCGCAGTGGAACTACCATTGCGGTTGTAAGGTTTACAACAAAAATGAAGCGATACCCTTGTGTGAAAATTTTTTACATGTTTTAGCTTGTTATATCTCTTTACGGTTTTTACTAGTATCTGTGTATATAATTCAAAGTGTGCAATGTACTTTGCCTCTCAGTTTATGGAAGGCTTTTGTATTTTTAGTTTGATCTTATACTACTATGCTGCATTGAGTTCTGCCCATAAAAAGATGATCGAGTTACTTAGAGAACAACTTACTTTGGTGAGTATTGCAAGTGTCATGTAATCTTTATTGTTTATCTTATTAGGCTAATAAACACAATTTATTTGTAAAGAAAATCATAAGGGCATATATTGATTTATACTGTCAATGATGAAATGAAATCAGTATGTGTAATTTTCTGTATGAAAGAAGTCTAAGGGGTCTCTTATTGTCCATTTATGATATGCATGCATGAATGAACTATGAGAATAGTTGCCTAGAATTTTGTAAATAGAAATGTACATAAATTTGAGTAAAATGTACATCTTAGAATAATATAGGTATGATCATTTGAATTTGTGAGAAAACAATTTTCGAGTGGAATACTTACCATTTAGTACACAATCACCGAACAATCATAGCTTCAATTACGAGAGCCTTAATCCCTCCACACTATCAAACTAATAACTGTTTGTAAATACAGGAAGGAAAGGACAAGCAATTTTTGTTGAAGAGAGTCAACGATATGCAGATGAGGTTGTCGGGAGTTGCACCTGAAGATGTTCAATACACGTACATTTTTATTATTATGAGCATTGTATTCTAATATAAAGCAGATCATCTCATTCAGGGTGTAACAAACTGAAATGCTATATTGAAATGAAATAATTGCACTGGACAGCTGTATGTTTATGATGCCCAGAGTACTTTTAGAAAACCTACACTTGCCTGGCTATGTATAAACATAGCGATTGTTCTTATTATAATATGTTGTGAATTGGTAGATCGCGGCGAAGATTTAAATGCCATTCACCTGGAAAAGCTTGTAATTAGTCTAATATTTTTTTTGCTCTCAAGTCTGCAGCTATTTTTTTTTCCTTTTAGGCGAAAGAGGACCGCTCACGTGGCTAAAGATAAGAGAACTTCTGGATTGGCATATGAAAATGAAGATGCCCGAAGTTCTGCGTCTGGTAGCTTACCTGGCCAGGCATACGATTAGTTCAAAGAAATTGTATAGTTTCATATATTTATGTACCTTTATATATTTTGGTTGCCATAGCAGTATTGTATTAGAGCTACAAACAACCATGTCATCAATGGTTTGGTTGAAATATCTTGCTACATAATATTGCTAATTCCTATACAACAACCTATGGCACATGGCAATTTTTCCAGTATCTGATAGTCTCGTAAAAACACCCTTTTTCAAGATTTCTAGTCAGCTCTGTAGTTATCCGATTTTACTATAAAATTGCTATTTTGAAAATTGAAATTGAAAATTATTTTTTTTTCACTGTAGCTGTTCTTGTTCGATTTAATAAATTTCACAATTTTGCTGACGTGATGTCCAGTATTAAAGATTTATTGATCTATTTGCTATTTGAATAAACTTCATTTAGACTTTTTAGCATTGTAAATGAAAACTGATAATAAGTTTTTACCTGATTCTAAGTATGTCTAGTTTCATGGCTGTATGTACATACATCTATTGCAAATTGGTTACTATGATGTTTGAGTTCCTATTTCTCGAACTGATTGTACAGCGAATGCTCGTGTATATGAAGCCCGCATGCGTTATTGCTTTATTCAGAGGTTGATTATTTTCATCTTCAACTTTAATTCAATGTTATTATTTTGCTTTCAAACGTTGCGTTAGATTTGGATAGTTACGATTCATGTTACAAAGGTGCTAAATTTTGGAAAATGAAACTATGTAGTTTGAGATTGGTGGCTTGACATGCTACTTGCAGTGGCTTCTAATGTAGGCTTTGCTAAATTGCACTCTCTATATTATGCTTACATTCGCTTGACAAAGCCGAAAATGCCAAGATAGCAAATCAGTGATTATCCAAGGTATGTTGCTGAATCACGATGTTGTCTGCTATTTTTTTGGCCGAAAATTATTTTACATTGTTGTGTTTGTATTATTCGTTGTCCACTGTCTATTACTATTAGCTATGCCTATATTCTATTATATATCGTATTTTGTTACTCAGTACTTTTTAGGCAGTGGTTCATGTTCCTGAAAATGATGCATAGCAGGTAGGGGTTGTAACATTGTCGGGACAAAGTGGCATTGAAGTTTTTGGAATTGTACCTTCTGATTGACTGTATCAATAATTTTTGGTTCCATTACATTTGAACCCATGACAATTGCACCTGTATGCTATTGCACCTATGGAATTTTTTTTGTTTCACGGATAGTTAAACCCATACTAACCCTAACCCATGGGTTTTAGCACCCGCATATAGATTGAACCCGTGGATATACGCATGGGTTCAAATGTACATGGGTTCAAATGTACGGTCACCATAATTTTTATATTGGATTGGAAACCACTGCCATTTATTATATAATAGTTCCGTACTGTTTCCTTTATGACCACTGTTTCACGTTTGAAGAGGAAAATATAGTTGTTAGTTCTGTCTTTTATTCTGTGGTGAATATTCTAGTTAACAAAGTGTTGGGAGAGAGCAAGATTATGATCGTCGGAAATCCATTTCTCATTAATATAAATACTTTCGGTGGGAGACGAGCTCGACTGCATGCTTTTGATGTTTTATCAAGTATATTATTCATAGAAAAGAATAAGCAACCTGGTCTAAAATTATGCGCAAGCTATCAGAGCACATTTGCCAGCTTCGAGGAATAAAAATACGTCTTTCCAAATGTTCACGCATATTGATTTGGAAAATTAGACGCGAAGGGCGTAAAGGAAAAAGTGCACATCGACTAAGCCGTGGTTAGAGGAACGATTGTTTATCCATCGACTGTTAAAATGAAGATTAAAACGATATCAAATGACGTAACTGTATAATACCCTAGGCCGGACTTTCAAAATAGACCAGATAATGGCGGATGGTTTCTTACTTAGGCACTTTTCCCTAGGCACGTCTACGTGACATCATACATGAAACTAATGAGATCATGCCAATTAGTTTTCCCAAATTAATTATCTATATTTAGAGCTCTACTCAAAATCATTTGACGTCGCAATATATCAAGACATACTGACCAGAAGGTGGACAAGAAAGTTAGAATACGTAATGAATTTGGATTATAATGATTCACCGATTATACCCATATAATAGGTAAAAACCATTCTCCCAGATTTCGGGTCGTCTTTACTCTGTTTGGGATGATGTACAAATCTCATTCGTACACGACCTTGCGACAATCAACCTACACAAAATGAACAATAGTTGAACTTGAGACTGTAGCCTATGTCGTAACATCAGGAAAGAAGAGGAACCGAGAATAGTAGTCTATGGCTTCAATGTATTCAGCGATTTCAAACACGTATCATATATATTTGAAGTGTACATTTTGCTGTCGGACATAAGCGTAAAATGTCATTCATTATTCAGACAATAATACTAAAATTAGAGATTTATTCTTATCATTGTCTCGTGACACTTCAGGCTAAAAAATAGAATCGACTCACGTACCACATTAAAATATGCCGCCGGCATATTCGCTTAAACGTATCGACCTACGTGATATTTGGTATTTAAGCGTACAAATCTCGAATCATACAATAACTTTGGCTACATAGAGTGCCCATTCGTTCAGTATAGTAGAGGCTATATTGTAGATGTAGATGATCCTATTATTGCTAATAATGATAACAAATACCATAAAATTAGTAGACTATGTGGTGTTTTATGTAACTTTTTAGCCGTGTTGAAGTGTTGTTTAGATCGCAAGCAAACTAGCACAGTTCGTACTAAACATGTCGCTCCATCGATTTGAATTTCGGAGCTGGAGACCAGCTGTTACATTCTACGATCTTATGGATATGATATTATTATGCTGTGAGTTTTAGTTACTGATTTAGGCTATGAATTTGCATCGAAGATATTAGATATGAATGAAAACTGGTTTGTACGAATTGGTGAATGCGCAGTAGCCTACGGTAAGCACAATATATTAAACCAGGGGTTCCCAAACTTTATTGGCCGCGGGCCAAAATTAGAATCGGAAAGATGTTCGCGGGCCGGAAGAATGTAGCGCCCAAAAGTGGATTCACTTTCATTTGACATTTTCTTGAAACATGCTCGTTTGACTCGTAACAGCGCTCAATGTTGTTTTCCGTCAGAACTGGAATAGTTCGTTGGCAAAGTAGACAAATCTCTGAAGTTTGATACTTTTCAATGGAGAAATGCGAACACTGCCATTTATACAAGAAACGTCAGTTTTCTGAGTTTAGTTTTCGTTTGATTTCTGACATCTTTAAGCTTTCCTATATGGCTGATAACTAAATTACTGTCCTTTGTAATCCTAATACCGGTACACATAATTGATATACTGGTATAACTGAATTGTTACGATAAACACGTGCTTGAACTCTGATAATGATATAAATTATCGGTATTTAGATCGCAAAAAGGTAGAAATAAAATCTCTTGAACACTATTTCACGTAAGCTCGGCGGGCCATTTTAAATCGTTACGCGGGCTGTATTTGGCCCGCGGGCCGCGGTTTGGGAACCCCTGTATTAAACGGATAAACGTAAAAAAGAAGAATATCGGTCAGAGACCGAAGACTTATCGATCAAAAGTTAGAGGATCCCAAAACAGCGCTATTACTCCATAGTGACACCTTGTGTCCCATCACTAATTAATTAATAACTCGCTAATTAGTAATTATACGACATAATTCATCCAAAATAAATAGGCTTCTGGTACGACATATGATGAATGCACATGCCAAATCTGGAGCAGATTCAATGCTTTCGTGAGATTTCGCGTGCATCTAACAAACAGACAAATACCTATCAACATACTTACCGATTAAAATCGATAAGTAATAAGGAAAATAAACACAGACTCATTTGATCTCTTGTAGTTATACAAACAGACATAAAGAAAAACATGTAAAAAAAATTATTGTTGCTGTAGGCCCTCCTACATAGTATGGTCCGTTTAACGTAAGAAAAAATGCAACGAAATTTTCATCACATTTGAACAATTGTATTTGTTTTTTAGCTTTGAAATTATAATATTACGACTAAGGTGACTTTGTAGTTCGATATGAAAAATATTACACTAATATTAGTTACGCTGTGTCTTCTTTATTCCACAAAAGTGACTTGTAAGTACATTTCCGTTTCTTTTGTCAACCGTCGATAAATTTTGAAATAGGGTAGAGTAGATTAGTTCTATTATATTTGGCCGATATTTATCGCACAGTGTTGCACTTACATATAATTTGTATTTCTGATTTGTTATGTATAAATACAAAATCAAGAGTTACAAGTACAGATATCGCATAACATATTTGAGTCATATTTTAGTCTCTGTGGCTGCCATAATCTGTTAGATAGAATAAAAAACTATCAACATTGAAATAAAACATATATATATATTTAATATATCACAGTGACTTGGTCGCCGTTCAATTGTCCTCCAGGCCAAGTTTACAACTCTTGTGGCAGTCCATGCAATTCGACATGTGAAGATCCAACTCCCACTTGTAAGCGTTCCTGTGTACAACGATGCCAGTGCCCCCTAGATAAACCCTTTCATCGCGATGGAAAGTATGCATACATTGTATCATTATTAGCAAACAAATACAGTTAGGATTCAAAAGCAATTATTTTTGAGAGAAGTCTTTGACTGCAGGTGTAACCTCAACAAAAGAATGAACGGAGCCAATATTGTACACAATATATAATATATTTTGGAACAATTTGAACAACTCTGTACAATTTGACTACACAGTTCTTTACTTTTACTCACTTACTATAGTACCCTACCTTACCATATACATAGCCTCGCTCATATTTTATGTCCTTGAGCAGTGGCGGGATTCAGGGATTTCTGTAGTTGAGTTTGGCATAAAAGAGAACCTATTCTTATTCAAATTTTGAATCCCATCACTGGCTTCTAGTATCTCGATAAAACTTTCTTTTATGCATATTTCAAAACTCAGGTGTGTTGCGCACGATGATTGCAAAGATAAAGAAGGAGAGAAAAGTAAGATTTATATTTTGGTATATTCATACAGATTAAAGTTGAAATTTCAATATATATATATATATATATATACTAATTTTAATATATATACTTTTGCTACATTTTAGAATGGCCACCACTTGACTGCCCAGCTGACCAAATATACAAAAGATGTGGAAGTTTGTGTAACTTGACTTGTAAAGAACCTTTCCCTACTTGTAGACGTATGTGTGTGGAACGTTGTTCTTGTCGTTCCGATAAGCCTTTTTATCACAAGGGAAAGTAAGAATTCTTCAGTCATATTTTCGTATTCAATAACCTAAAACCAATGTTTGCTATCTACATTAAAATTGATATGTGACGAAAATGATTAAAATTTATGTAAAGCAAATTATAAAATTTTGGAAATTATATGGTGGTTGTATATGACCATTAAAATTTAATGCTGGCTGGGATCTGAAACATTTTAGCATTGGATAATAATTTTTTTGGTACAATTATCAAAAGTATTTTAATAGTAAGGGCTGTAGTTATGGATCAATATTCCCTATTGTAAACTTTTTATTCTTTTGCTAGGTGGCTGTCAAATATTCTAGTTGTATAGAAGATGACGAAAAAAAAAGACATACGTAAGAGAATTGAAGTATATTTGAATTTAATGAATAGAGACAGAAATAATAAACTAAGCCGATTATAACTAATAAAAAGTTAAGCCAAATGTTTACTAAAACATTTTCTCAGGTCTTCAGACATAGCGTCACGCATCTAACAACACTGTTATCAGCTGCATCAGGAATGTTTTTTATTCCCAGGAAATAACCGTTGGTGCTCAATTAATTTCAATTAATTTAATTTCCAAATATTTTTGTAGATGATATAATGTGCCCACCAACTCAAAATTTCAACTATGTGGTAGTCGATGTAATAAAACTTGTGACGATGGCGGAAAGAAAAATCTTGCGCTCGGATATGTGTGACGAGATGCGGATGCCCATATGAGAGGCCGATATGGCACGATAACAGGTTTGTAAATTGTACAAGAATTGAAATGTCTGAACGCGAATTGCTTTGAAATATTTGAATTCGCGATGAATTCGATTCACACTCACAAAGAAAGACTGGTCACAGTTTTTCTGTATCTCAAGCTTAAATTGCGTTGATAGGCTATCATTTCCTATATATATATCTATTTTGCAACCTAATCTCATTCTAATAATATATCAGTAACGTCACCTGAGATTGCTGGAAGCTAAATAGTGAATAGCTCAATCCAAACACAAGTAATCTTCTCATCAACATTGAAAAGAGTTGAGAATTCGTGACCTTGCTGCGAACAAACCTATATGTGAAATATTTGCATAACTGCATCAAATTTAATAACGCTTCGATGAATCTTACTACTCAGGTGTATACCCTTTTCGAAGTGCCCGAAAAAGCCAGAATCCGGTGCGAGAAGTCATCAAGGAGCAAACAAGGACAAAATACCTATACCCATTGCAGCCTTTAGCATGATGGACAAAGCACTAGCACTGATGAAGGAATTGCAGTTGAAAAGTTAACGTAAACAAATCATAGTCTGTATCAACATATCATAAAAGTACTGGATCAAATATCTCCAAATCATCTCTATATCTATCTAATAGTTTAGAAACCTGAGTTTTGAAATGAACCGAATTTTTTTCCATTTGTTTTTATAAATTTGCTGTCACAGCTTTACGAATCGTTTTTCCTGATGTTTTTTATATTTATATGTTAACATGAAAAAGTCAAGAGACAGGAAAACCCAACATATTCGTGTGCCATGTCATTATTCTAATTTTGTACGATGGTGATCCTAACACTTTCTGCGAGTTACATTGAACTAGTTTAGATGAATCCGTTGTATGTAAGCTTTTAAGATATTGATATATATGAATATTTAAATATGAAATTGAGCTACTTTGTAACACATTACGGTATATTGTCAAAGAAACGAATCGTTTGTGTAAGATTTATTTCCGACAATATCAATTGCATCATCGATTCTTGCTGATATACTCTTTCCGCCACCAAGAGCTATATTAACATCACGTAGAACCAAACCTGCTTGTATTCACGATGTCAGAGTTAAAGTATAATATTTCCTAATAATAATAAATTAGAATAGTTCAAACAGTCTCTGAGGACTTTGTTGCATCATTCTCCCCTATATTGTCAGGCTCTCCATAAAATATACAAAATTGGTTGCTGGTAAATGATGTGAGTCAGAGAATTTATTGAGGTATTATTTTCGCAATGTGTGTAGCCGACAAGTCAAATCAAAAAAAAAATCCCGGACAAATGTATTTTTCCTTACATCTGAAATTTGCATTTTTCTTATTTCGCCCAAAACTATACAAGCAATACTATCAAATCAATTAGGTTTAATTAATTAGATAATTTAATTTTAAATAATTGATGAAGAATGCTCTCACAGAGAAAAATTGAATTTCGTTTAACGAAACATAATCTCAAAACATGTAAAAATATACATTGTTTGTCAAATCTGAATTACATAGATTTTCCTGACTCAAAGTAACCTTCTTAGAAAGCTATCAATGTGCATTCCGTGCTCACAAAACCTATGTTTACTCAATGTTTAGACATAGTGCATTTTTAGACCGACAGTACTGTCAACGAGGCTGAATCTAGAACTCCATCCTCAGCTTTTGGCGATTTTCATTTCATAAAACTTAGTTTTGTATTGCAACACTTTATAGTCAGTGGTCAGGTGGATAGTCACGTTGAGTATAATTGTTTTCTTCTGACTTCCACTCATGTTTCTCTGATAACGGTTTCGAACTTTGACAATTTGATGGTTGGGAATTGAACGTTTTGAAAAAGCCTTCCAAGTTAGGAAGTGACTGTGTATGCGTTAAGAATGAGGACATTGGTGAAAAACTTTTCGAATCTGTGATAAAATGTTTTTCTATACTCGGATTTTTATTCAAGACGCTTGGTGAGTTCTTGAAAGATTCTCTATTATCTTCCGGGTCTTCATTGGTGGAAGCAATCAACAATGTTTGGTCTGTATTCTCTAATATTGTTTCCAAGGGAGCTTGATTTTGATGTACGTCTGTTTCAATATCAATTGTGCTACTTCCATCTTCTTCTAAAGTTGCCTCACAAGTCATTTCAACTGCATGCTTCGTTCCAGTACATGTTACGTTCGGAGAATTCTCACCGTCGGGAGACGACCTAATTGTCTCGGAATGACGGGCCTTGGACCATTGTTCCTGGCATAACATTTTTGCAAAGTCCTGCATAGACGTTGGAGACTCTAAGTCGTTTTCGGCAAAATTATTTTTCATAAAATTAGTCTCGAGCATGCTTCCTCGAGGTAAATAACCATTAGTATTCGAGGGGTATCTGAGGTAGGATTTTCTTCCCTCGCATTCTCTGTTTTGTTGAAATATTTTTTTGATGAATCCTCTTGATCTTTTGTGAGGATGCTTACGTACATCACCGCCGGCATCATCGATCTGGTCGGAAGTTTCTTTCTAAACAAATAAAAACAAAAAAAATATTACAAAACAGTAAAATTCTCGAACGTTTTCACACTTAAATCTTGGTTTTTAAATACATAAGCTACAATTTTGTACAACAGCAAACATAGGTAGCCAAAAACGTTGGCTTATTTCACTTCTGAGGTCAATTCAAATTACTCGAGCTTTAAAAAATAGTTTCTCAGCCAGGCTAGGATATTGAAGCTCGGATAAAACTGTTATAATTCAAATGTTCATTTCTCATGTGTTAAGCGGCACGGAGTGTGTATTCGAAAACTCTCCTCTAACGAATATTTTAAATATGGATTTTCAGATGTCAATGTACCACGACTTATTCAACTCACCAAAATAGGTTGTTCTGTGCTGCGGTTGGAATACTGGCGTAGTGGAGTCAGTTCTGAGTCGACACCTTGTGGTCTTGAAACAAAAAAGCTCAAACAGCAAACTTGAATTTATACAATTCATAGGGTTGTTAGCAATTTATTTATTAATAATTGTAATAATCCCAGGGTAAAATAAAAAAGAATTAGAAGTTGTTCTAACCTAGAGCTTCTAAAATATGTTGCACAAATTTGACTACAGCATGCGAATCAAAACAATCGCACTGTTGCTATAGTAATTTCAAAGCTCACTCGTGTGGCATATAAACAAAAACAGCAACCTCCGACGTCTTCAACTATTGAAGATTTGATATGTGCTTAATTCTGTCTTTGAATCACAGACAAAAGATATTTCAAAGAAGATTTCAAAGAATTGTTACACAACGCCAACGTTTTGGTGGTATGGGAAGCCACTGTGTCTCTAGTAAAGTCTTTAGTCTGTCCATGAATAACGAGATATTGAAGCATCACCATACTTATTGTCTGACTTCGAAATGACGTTTCTATAAATAAATCACTTGTTTACTCACCTAAAATATGCTTGATATTTTTTATTCGGTGAGTTTATGTTATTTCTTCTAAAATTTTGTATTCTGTTTCCGTGTGCAGACTGGTGTCTTGGTGTCTTAAATATAATTACTGGGTTAATCTAACTGTTAATCAGTGCTATTTAAGTCAATCCTTATAAACATAGTTGCTTTTTCCAGTCATCAGAGTGTTGGGTTTTGTGAATTAACTTCGCCGAGAACTGTCGTTATATCGTTGTAACAAAAATTACATAGAATCTTGGAGCCGCAATCCAGTTGAGATTTTGACCATATTCTTTATTCAACTGGAACGTATTGATTTTTCATAGGAAATTACTACAATTGTTCGATATAATTTATTTATACGACTCGTTCACCTTTTCCGCGCTCTTTTCATCGTGTTTCCTGATTTCTTCAGCTATTTCTGTTGAGGTTGGATCAATATTTTTCTGTTGTCGAGCACGACGATCTAGAACACTACTGAAGCGACCTGTGAACAAATAAACAGTTTGTGATATCCCGTCTGGGTCTGTATTCAAGAACGTCTTGCTCACACCTAATAATTTCAATTTTGTTCTGTCTCACAAGATACATTATGGAAGTCAAAGCCACTCCAGAAGGCGAATATCGAACAGAAACGTACAACCAGCTAGTGATGGGATTCAAAGAATTCGCATGGATCTTGAAAACCTTTCTTTGGAACATGTTTTTAATGAAAATTTTGAATCCCTTGACTGCGTACACCTAATTACATTTTATCGTTAGTCAGAACGCAGCGTGTCATGAAATTATATATGACGAATGAATCTAGCCAGTATAGAACGCAATAAAAAAAAACGTTTCAGGAATATACTTACATGATAAAAACATTCTAACATTTGTAGTTTTGGTGGAAAATTCGGCACCTTACCTAACTTTGACAATCTCGATGCTGCAACAGTTTCTAAAGTTCTTTTCATGATAGGAAACCTCGGCAGAAGTTCATTGAAATCATCGGCATGTAATGAATAAATACAACAGTTTGTGACTGCAAATACGGAAGCAACTCTTCGTTGATTTGTCAACAGACAGATTTCTGTTAAATATAAATGATACAAAATTCTGTGATTAGACTCTAAATACATTTAATATAAAACGATATCTACGTCGAAATACGCTTACACATGCCTATTTCTGCAGCAAATATAACATGGTAGTATTTTTATCCATAACCATTTTTTCAAGATTGGAATCTCATAATATGATATCATTGGTATTCATTTTTCAAATGCTTATGTGACACTGATCTTCGGTCAGAAAAATGTGGGAAAATTTAATTATGTCGTGTTGCATAATAAAGTTTATATAATACACAATATATTTGATGAGTCAAGTGTTTATACTGTTAAATCTCTAAGTAATATATTGATTAATTGCAAATTATGTTTTACAATCGGCAATGTTGGCAATTTTCTCACGCATTTCGTGGAATCGAAAACAATTATAGTAATGTAGTAATGTGGAGAAAGTATTATACTGTATTGGTTATTGAATTACATATTTGTGTGATTATAAATTGTATTACTTATATTAGTGCTGATTATTTGGTTTCTGCGAGACTAACTACTTATCCTTCTTCTATGTTTTTGTGCCGGTGGATCCGTATGCATATATTGCTTATATTAGTGTTATCGATTTTCTATTTGTTGTTTTTATTAGCTAAAGTGTATTGATTATTTTTCAAATATGGTTGATCTCCCTTTTATAAGTAAAAATTAATTGCTGACGTAGGCGTTTCAAAAAATTTGTAATAATATGATAATCTAGATTAAAACTATGTCCTGTAGTCGTCATAAATATGCTATTATTGTTGAGTCGTAATTTGAATTTGGTGTGTGCAAAGGGCAGCGGGCGAAGTAGTTCAATCAATTTTCATTCTTCAATATTTAAAATCTCCATTCTTTATGTTCATTTCTTGATAAAAACGAGCTAGATTTTTCTAATCAATGCAAACCAATCAGAGGAAACGGAGAAACAAAAAAGCGGTCTTTCATTTTAAGCAGATCAACTAAAACTAATACGCATATTATAGAAACATGTCAAACAGCTGTGAGATTTAATAGGAGGCGAGTTTTCTGCAAGCTATCTAAACGTCATATTTGAAACTTCGTTATTTGACAAGAGTATAACGGATAAAGGAAAACAATTGTAAGCTAACATTTGTTGTGTGGAAACTTTCAGTTCTAACATAATAAAATATCGCTAGAATAAGCGGATCTGGAGTAAAATAGAACATAGAAAATCTTTGAACAAATCGTATTTCGTATTTTTTTATGAATTGTACCTTGAAGGTTCACTAACACTGCCATACTATCTATTTGACAAAGTAAAGACTAAAGCAATTTTTCCGAAACAACAAAAGAAGTCGAAGTGCAATTTATGTCGCTAGTCATTCGACCACATACCACAGATCATTTAAAGGTAGAAAATTCTGTAGAAAATGTATTTACCACCAAAGTATGATCCATCAGATAGCTGGGTTGTATTAAGGTTTGAAACACTTTTTATTTCCACAACTCCGTGTTGTATAAAATACATCTTCTTTCCCATAGAACCCTCCTTGACTATTATATCTGTGGTTAAAAAAAAATAGTCAAATTTTCATAGATGATTGAATATTCAAATATATTCAGGTTTAGAAAGTTGTCGGTAAGACTCAACATACGGTACACACAAAAACAACCACGACAAAACAAATTGTGGTGTGCTTATATAATTAGCAGTTGTTCGAATTTGTTAAAGTTTTACTCATGCAACGCAAAATGTCATTTTTAAAATAGTCTAATCTAAATGAAAATGTACCAGTTGGTTGAAAGACTTCAAACTTAAGTTTCTGTACAACTTCTGTAACAAACTCCTGTTCTGCGTTACGAAAGAACGGTACAGATGCCACCAAGTGTCGACAATTGAAATTGACAATTTCCTAAAAATTTAAGAAAGTGGTTTAGTATATTATTATCCACCTAACCGTTTCATAATTATTGCAAATGTGAATACATCCGAAAAATGCGTCATCTAATCATTTATAAATAAAATAATAAAATGGTATGTCTTTTATAGTATTAGAAAATGTTTATTTTAACAAGCAAAAGATAAGTAGCGTTTATTTTATCAAAAATGCACTCCTCTTGCTGGTTGTTACCAATTGCTCACGCGGGATGCCCGAATATCTATACATCCATTTCGGGTTTGCAACGAACATAGTTTGTGATGTATGTTTGCATTTTTTGTTATCAAAGGACAAAAATCAAAGTAGCATTTTATCTACAATACCTCCTGAAGCGAAGGCGATATTTCTGCAAGTATTCCTTGTTCATCGAACATCTTTCCTTGAAATCTATTCTCATAGTATTCGTAAACTTTCATTCTAATCGATTTAGGTAATCTTCTATATCTCATGTATTCCTTCACTTGCATGTACTGTAAAATAATATCAGAGATGTATTTTAAACAAATCCTGCGCTCAATTTTATCTTCACTTATTGAGACTTTTATTTATTCGTTGTCAATCGGCCGATTCAATTGAAATATGCCGAGGTTAGCCTTTTACTTGACACTCAATTTTTTTTTAATAAAATATGTGCTAGGTTAGATCAATAAAATGAAGAAGATTTGCTTAAAAATGTAAATAATAGAGTTATTTTACGAATGAAAACAACCGTCACTGAAGTTGGCTGAAAGTTTTATCAAAAACATCACAAGCAGTCAACACTAAAGGGAAGATACACGTTTCAAAAACTTAGCTGCGGTAATAATGTGCCATGGATTAGAACTTTTTTGGCAAATAGAAAGACAGGTTGATGTTACGATAGCGATTATCTTTTTTTACGATAAAAGGTTCTAATTACGCACAGGGTATTTAGTTTTCCCATTAAACTATCTCCCATGTTAATTGCGAAATGACTGTTTGGCAATATCACATCCCTACGTCATTTGAAAGCAAATATGATTGCTAAAATACAGGATACAATTTTTTGCATAGTATCAATTTCACCATTTTACGAACCACGCAAAAACCGTTGATCAGTTAATCTTTGATTAGCATTATATATTTAGTAACAATAATTATCAAAGATGTAACTAATTGTTACAGCAACAGACTAGTTTTGTTTATACTCAAACATTCGCGTTTGATTCGCATTCATCAATTTGATCGCGTTGAAAAATCAGTTTTGTGGCAGTTTTCAGACTCGAAATACTCAGTCACTGCTTTTATCAATGACTGAATCTTCTGCACAATTACGAACAACTAGTCCAGTGCAAACCGGAGAAACCTACCTTTTCTTTATATTGCCGTTTTGATGAATCTAAGGATTGTATAAGTGCAGTTGTGTGTCCAATAAACATCGCAAAACAAACAGCACCTTTCAAATAAGAAAAGTGTACTATATACATTTGTGATAGCCCTAGGGGAGATAATTTTATGTAGCAAGCATGTAATACGTATTCATGTAGCTGTTTTTTGGGCTCACAGCCTCAACTAAAGTGTACAAATTTAGGTAGAGGATTTCGATTTGATCATTACAGCTCTATACACCCTAAGTGCCATCAGATTGAACAAAATTTATAGGTGAGCACCATGAATTCTCTCATTATTATCCTTATCGTTAACTTACAAATCAAAATGATATTCAGCGTTGTTATGATAAGGTTGGGAATAGAATTACCTGGCTTCAATAAAAGCAAATCGAAGAGAGATATTTTACCTCGTGACTTAATATTATTTACCTGATACCATCGATATCATTGTCATCCAAAGATCCATTAAATTTTTTGGTGGTTGCTGTCCATATCCGATACAGAGCATGTGAGACATTGCTTTAAATAATGCCCAAGAGTATTTTTCACCCCAGGAAGCATCCTGTCAAATCCAAGAACGAGGTAAAAACATAATTATGTTTAATGGATTTTCCAATAACAGTGAACTAATGTGACATACAGCGTTATGTATACATGATTTAGTAAAAAATCGTGGCTGTGGAAAGAGTTTTCTACCCAGCACCAACATATATCAGATGCTAGCAATTTTAGTATTGACTGACAACACTGCATTAAAGCCGTAACTGTCCTTATTCTAGCTAACTCTTTCCTAGATTTGATACCAAAGAAATGTATTCCATAGATTGTGATGTATATTGTGACAAAGAATTCAAACATTATGAATGATATAAAAGTGTAAAAAAAATATATATTTATACAATTGCAATCAGGTAATTTCAAGTGACTAGTGATTATCCGAGCAGACAAACGGTACTCCCGAAGTATGTGAAGCAAGATGGCGGACACCAGAACGTAGTATGTGCACCAGGTTAGGGTTAGGCCATAATTTCAGGTACAAATACTATGGGAGTCACTTGGCTACCACCTGAACTCGTAATAGAACCAAATAAGGAAAATTGGAATAAAATAATTATAGCCTAACCCTGACCTGGTACACATACTACGCTCCGGTGTCCGCCATCTTGGTTACATACTTCGGGGGTACCCGGCGAAGTACGTTAAAATATTTTCCAATTAGCCCACGATGGATCAAATATATCGTATAAAATTTCGCTGAGGTGAAGTAATTCGTATTTAGTAATCAGTAATTAATGTTTTATATTGTTTTTCAAGCCGCTAGTCAACTTGTAAAATTTGATTCACCAATGAAAGCTTGAAAATACCTGAAGTTTGTCAACCACAATCCATGAATCTGGTGGGAAATCGTACAGCATTGGCACCATATACTGCAGACAGCCGTTCCAATGACCGATCAGTAACATCAAACAAACCAGGTTGAAAATTCGGACAGCTGCAACAGCTAGATCGTATTGCATGTTGACAATCTGAAAGCATTATGATTATATCGTAGTTAGAAAGGGCGTTCCGTAATGCCCTAGAAATCTTCTCCGAGATGATATCTCTAACATTTAACGTTAGGTCATGTTCTCCGGCGCTGTGACGTCGGGGCTTAAATCATCGCACACCGAGAAGAACTAAACGTCAATATACAAAAGTTTTTAGAGGCAATCAACAAATGACTCAAGAAATAATACATTAATTGGTTGCATCTGAATGTCCTGGAACTCTAATAGTATCAATGTATACCATTCCTATTGATAGATATTGTTAGGCAAATGCCAAAAATTCCTGTGTTTGACATTGTTAATAAAAACTACGTATGGGTGCAGCCTCAAGCAAATAATTCTTTTGGATTTAGTGAAGTCAATCATCAATTTACCTCTTCCCATTGATGAACGTATCTGATCAATCGAGAGATTCGTAACAAGCGAAGAAGACTCAACATCTTCGCAAAGCGAAACAATTTCATTGCACGTGAAGCACTTGCACTTGCTGACACTCCATTGAGAAGCTTGAAGGTAAAAATAATCATTATATTATGTACGGAAGTGTGATTAGTTGTACATGGCTTGGAAGATACCACTTGGACTACATATCGAAAGGCATAACCTCGAAACGAAAATCATTGCAATAAACTTTAGGAAACGCGATTAGACATACTTTGCTTTTGCACATTGATTACCGATTACTATATCACTTCCAAGTCATCTGGAACTTTGCTTTCCAGATGAAACTTTCTGCAACTCGACCATATCTGTCCATAATCAATATATACAAAAAGTAGTTTGGCTTGGATATGCGTGCGGCATATAAACAAACTACATGGACATCCACACTATATTCACATAACCTTGTATAAACGAAAAGGCAGTATATCATTACAAACAAGTTTTGTTGTGATTACAAATGTTAAACCATCCACGCTCCTCTGTTTGCGTCTGATAATGACACACAAAAAAGAATTCTGACAGTATATCAGAATATCTCTAAACTTTATAATTTCTAGGCGACCGAAAGCGAATTTGCATGCAAACATGCTTTAGAACCGAAAGTATATCTATATCTTTTACAAACGTGCAAACCAATGTGTATCAACGGCGATGGTAATGTAAATTACTGTGTTACACTATCCAATCCTGTGCGTTTTAATAAATTGCACTTCCATACTATTGAATAATACAATTATAAAGCAGTCATTCCTTCAATGTCCGTAAAGATCGAACGGTTCAGCTGGTAAAATCAATTTATCGTTCGAGTTCATATATAATGCATACACGGAGGTACATTACTAACGACATGTGTTGATTAACGTATCGACGAAATACAGAACCTTCAATTAGATAATGTTGTACAATTTCTCCATCACCGTCAAAATTTCGATCGTGGAATATTATATCAAGACGGTTCGATTTTACCAAGATCCCGACATGGAGCGTAAAATTAGTGACAATAAATAAATGACAAAGTAAATAAGATACGCGGAACAAATTTCAAATACTCGTTGCATTAAAAGTCCCTCGGCATCAGTTACAAATCCTTCATTAACAAAATTTACTGTAATTAAATCAATAATATCCGATATTATTCACGAAAAAGTTTTGCTCCGAAAACGATTTTCAGTGACTATGTGATGTTGTATTTGCGCATGTGCAAGTCTACTGCACTCTTTACTTCAACGATCAATTCGTGTCGTTTTCATCTATCAATTTACAATAAAATCAGAAAATCATTGACACAAAACTAATTTTTTAAGCGATGGAGATCTTCTGCGGGCCTAAAGAAAAAGTCATTTTGACATGATGAAAATTATCCAAAGTCCTTATTTTTTGGTGATACAGTGGTCTGATTGGAGGGCGTTTAAATTTACTCTTATCTCTCTCTCTTATTGATAGAACTTCAACGAGGTAAATTAAAGTAATCTTATCTATTTCTTTGAATGATAATCATATTGTCACTGAAGATTTGTTTTATCGGATGCTTTCGGAGGCTCTTACCTAAATGAATTACATATCATGATAGATAATAGGTTTTGCAGTCGGAATATGTACGTTGCAGCCATTTATATGTCGCACCGTCCAGATCCAAACATCGCGTTCTTACCGCTTACAATCCGGTAGGAATGCCAGATATATCCATGTTCTTAATTACAGTCTTACATATTTCATGCTTAAGATGAGGATAAATCGGTCAAATTCAATTTCGTGATTTTCACTCTAATTGACGACAATATGTTACACGGCGCCATCGTTATCGACGTTACGTTGACGTTAAAAGCAGTTCTCTTTCCGCTGAGATTAAAAAGGAACGAACAAATCGATAGGGTATGTATCGGCGCCAAAAGACCATGCATTAGCGTGATGTACCAATCAAAATAATGTATAGCTAATAAAAGTTCTGCTTAGGGAGAGTGAAAAATTAAATCTTCGGTTAATTAACGTTTTGTTTTCTCGTACGACTGGAGAAACATTCCGGTTTGAAACACCCTATTAACAAGAAATACAAATAAGCAAGTTGCATGAAACCGCAACTATAATATGCAAAAATGAACAAGTGAAATTAAACTCTGTCAGATACAGTTGCTATGTTCACCTCGGACAAAGTAGGGTCTCACTATAATCGTGTTTAGAGGGTAGGGTGGCGCTGCCGAAGCATGTACAATTATAGGCCAAAAGCAAAAGCGGCACGTAGAAACCAACCGGTACAGCGCACATAACTTGATAAAAAATAATCATTCAAGAGAAACGCCGCCGTTTTCTCGTCTGTCACACCCTGGATGCCGTAAGGTACTACATATTCAGCAACTAATGATTTATGAGTATGATTATGTAGTATGAATAATATGGGAAAGTAAATCGAGTCTCCTTAGAAGTATTTTAAAAAACATTATTCGTAAAATTTGCGTATTATGTTGAATCGGATATCCAATTGAATGAAACTTGTATGTAGATGGAATGGAACCTATGTTAATCCTCTGGCGGCCATGATGCCGTCGAAGAAAAAGGTTATGTTTAAACAAGTTTGTTTATGGGTTAAAGTTATTCGAATTTGATGTGGATGAAAACGACAATTCTAATTCTAAATTCTAAAAACCCCTTACTATGTATACATGAACGGGTGGATATTTCATTCACAGAATGGACAAGATTCTTCAATTTCGCTAACACCCGTGTATGGAGTTTGGTTAGAAAGATGGATTCAATATTTTTCACAATTTTCTCTAATTTGACTGGATATTAGGAAGGGCAGTGTAGATTGGTTACCTATTTAAAATTGAGATAGCACTCAGGAGCACTAAACTATACAAGTAATACTGCATAAAGAAAATCAATGCCCATGTCTAGACAAATACTTGCCTAAACAGAAATAGCCGGCATTCTGAGAAACAGAATAAAAAGATTTGCCATCTTAGTTTTAATTTTATATTTTATTGTTATTAAAATTTTTAAATGACGGTAGTAACTTTAATTCTGCGTCTGTAATAATCTTAAAATTTGTGTCTATCCAAACCACAAAATTTACACGATAAAATATCACGTTTTAATAATTTAAATGTAATATGGTTTTCAAGTAATCTAGTTTAATAAATTGAGCTCGCACTTGTGAATGGGATAGTATAAAACATTATTCAATTTAGTTATTTTAGATAATGAACTTCTAAATCGAGCAAATATCACCCAATAATGTATTTAAATAACCTGCGAAGAATGCAAATAGATAAACTGAAATAAATTACATGGATCACTAGAACCTATGAAAGATGCCATCATGCAAAAAAAAAAATTCTTTACGAGATAATATGACCCGAATTTTCTTTGATCTACTTTGTCAGGAAACCCGGTTACCAGCACTGAACAAGGCATCGTACGAGTTAACGCTCGAATCCCAAGATACCATATTCTGCTTCGGGGGTTCAGATTTCCACATAAAACCGCTTACTGGTGTATTACCACGAGTGAATGTATTGTGCTTATAAAAATCAATGTTTTTCATTCAACTCACCTGCAAAATATAGTCTATCGGAAGAGTAGAAAGTAAATCGACAAAAAACCATGTTTTGAGATAATTCGTTCGGATCCTACGCAAATTTAAAACGACATCCCCATCACCATATTCCACAATTATTCCGGTATGAAAATTTATGATGATGTCACTTAAAAACCTAGATATTGTTAAATAAATATATACATGAAATTAGCATTTGGGCGGGCACGACAGCGGCGTTGAACGTTCTAAAATAAGATCATCATAAAATATTAAAAAATAATCTTCGCCGAGTCGGGTTCAATTCGGGCTTTCAATAAATAAGTCTGCTTCACGCCGTTTTCCTGCATACTAAATTTGCATAATTCCATATTTCGTTATGCGGTACATGCTGTTGGGAAATGTCAGAAATCAATAGAGAACAGCAAATATCTTTTAAAATTAATATAAAAATGAAAAAGTTATGTACTTGTTCAAAATTTACAACCTTTTTTCTATGGTTAAACTGAGAATTGGTTAATTCTTACTCTCTCAAGTATATGCGACATGGATGTTCTGTTCGATCTGGATATTCTGTGCGACCTGGATATTCTGTAGCATGGCAATTTAAACTACTTTCCAATCCACAGATAAATGCGACATAGAAGTTTAGTTATCCAGTCATTCAAATACACAATTAGCTTATATATTGTAATTTGAATAAATTTTTTTTTTGCATTCGGGTCTTTCTTCAAACGAGTTCACGTAAAAACAAACTTATGAATATATATTATTTGACATAACCCACGGGTCAACTCCACTCTAGCCTTGAAACGATTCATTTTATTATGTTACTAGTCACTTGTAATTGATATTTTGCATTTCCGCATAAATTTTGGGTTTGTATAGCCTTGCCAAAAATTATTACAATTGGTAAAATGTAGATATTACATATATAGTAAAGTCGGGTAACTTTCCATTGACAGAATGCTATAGAAATCCATTTTAAAATTTTTACAGAATAATATCTCAATCGTCAAACAACTTACCAAAAGTCTAAAACAAGGTTGAATGCCATCCACCCTGGATCAGAGGTCATCTTGTCATTGAAAAAAGTAATCGCCACCGGTATGATTATCATGCTTATGATCAACAATACAAGCGAGACGAAGTCCCAATAAAATCTGCAATCGATATAAAGACACTTTGTAAATTGCTCTTTTTTCCTTTTGCATTTGCGAATCTTTTAAAGTTTTGCACCAGCAGAATATATTCGGCCATGTACAATCATTGGTAGGATAAAAGGATAATAGTAAATAGTTGTATGATGCATTACGCATTCCAAAAGACGTTCGATCGATAAATATTTACGTTGATGGCTATTGGCTACGCATAAACAGAAGAATTACAAATGTGTTATTTTAACTTGTTTCAAAATTCACGAATCAGCTTAAATAATGCATTAAATCTCTCATGAGTTCAATTTTCAGCAAATTAGAAATATTTAGTTCTATTATTTTTCAAATGCTGCTGGAAAACTTACACGAGGGTAATGTTCGAATTTTTAAGCATCATTTCGCTATCTTCGTATAAGTAACTATTTATAAATTCAATAATTAAGTATAATTTAAATGGACGCATACTCACTTTCATATACTAAGTGATCAGCAGGTGATCACAATATGCGAAAACAAAAATAATCAACAACAAACAAACTGAACCCCAAAATATCTATAGGCTGTATGGAATGAAGTAACATTTCATAGACATTTGAAATTGTGAAGTTGATATAAAATCAAATTGTTGTTTTTATGAAAGATGTACCTGAAATTTGAATATGGATGAATAACAAATGCCCCAACTTTTTCTTGTCTTTCCTGCTCTTGTTCGACGCCTTTCCTACTCCCATACATTCTTAGAGAAAATTTGGTCACAGGAACAGACATTGAACCTCCCGTATACCTTCACAAATAAAAATTGACATCAGTGGTCGCATTGCTTTGATTTATTTGAATACATTAAGATATCACTATCTACCGTTTCATTTTTATTTTATATTGATTCTTCAGGTTCAATTCAGTCCAAAGTAAAATATAAAAGCTGATATCACTTCGATTGCGAAACAAGATTGCACGGTTCAAATATTTTGACTGAGACTTATTACTAAAAATTGAACTTTTCCATTCGATGATGCCAGAATAACTTGAAATATTTCATAAAAGTTAAAGAAACTTTTGATCTTTATTCTAACGCTCATATATACACACACACATATGTATATATATTTATACATACTATTTCATGAAACAGTTGAATTCTGGTCATAATTGGTTCATTTTAATACTTACCACGCAAACGCCATCAACGATTTCCCAGGCTTGGTTTTTCTTCTAAAACCCATGGTTGTCAAGCCAATAAATCACAAACTAAGTCAGAAAATCAAAGATCCTCCATGCAGATATAAAATATAAAAATATTATAGTTTATTGGACGTTCTAAACAGTAATCAAGATTTATTCGTCATATCACCGCTTCTTATAGTCATAATCATTTTTGCATTACACTACCTTCCAACCGATCCATAGGAGTTATGTCATAAAATATTTATCTGAACAAATAATACATTTTTGGCGCATTGATATTTTCAATAATACCCATCAGACCATCACATATTGCACGGCTTAAAATAACGTAAGTGTATTTTGTACGTCGTTATAGCAAGATTATGCGTGAAATAATACAAAAATTACTCGACCGACTGATCACACGTGAAATTTTAATGAGACTAATTGTAAATTTTCCAGAAATAAGTCTTCGATAGAAGAATACACATCTTAAAAAATGGAACAAATGGAATATTCCACGGTCATCCGTCAAGCTTTAATCTACATAATAAGTATTATCTTCTACGATATAATGCGCACTTGTACGCGTCTCTTTTAGAACCAATGTGTGATTGGATACGATCATTACCAACGGAATTTGACAAAATATCTTGAAATTGCGTTCAGTCATCGAGATTACAAAATCAGGAAGTTGTTCCGTTTATACTTAAATTTGTCTCAGCTCAGAAAAAATCTCAAATTTGTTCGCTAAAAGAATGCATGTTCTTATAACGAGAACAACGAGATTGTCTTGAATTATTCATACTCTTCGACGTCAGTTACCAGTTGTAAAA